AACTGTTTAGCCACTTCAGTTAAATATACTGTACAAAGGACTAGAGACAGAGTCTAGCATTACCCTTAGCAGTTTTGTTGGATTACTGGAGCTGTACATGTGTACATACTCGTTATTTGTTTCGGGTTATATCTATCCTCTCTTCTCTTTCATTATGTATTTTTGTGTTCTCCTTCAATCTATCCTCTTCTCTTTTTTTCATGTATTTCTTTTTTAAATCTTCAATCTATCCTTTTTCTCCTTCGTCAATTTTCTTTGTTTTTCCTTCAAATCTATCCCCCAGTTCTCATTCGTTATGTATTTATTTTGTTCTCTTTTATACTAACCTCTTCTCTTTTGTTCTATGTATTTCTTTGTTTCTCCTTCAATCTATCCTTTTCTCCTTCGTCATGCATCTATTTCTTTGTTTTAATATGATAGATTCCCTTTCTCCTTCTTTATGTATTACCCTGTTTTTCCTTAGTCTAGATCTATGATCCTCTTAGCTCTTCAATTATGTATTTCTATGTTCTTCCTGTGACTTATCGTCTTCTCTTTCCTTATGTATTTCCTTGTTTTTCCTTCTCCATATCCTCTCCACTATTGTTGTTTTCCCCTTTCTATCATCTTCCCTTCCCTGGGTGTACGTGCTGGCACACAGTGCGCTGACGACCTAGACTCTTTCACCAGAGCACTTCTTGGAATTTTTTCGCGAAAATGGCTAAACAGTTGTGTAAAAAAAAATATGCGCGGGCGGGAGGAAGAAAACGGGTTGGTCTTATAAGCAAAGGCTCTGATTTGATCGGTATAAATTGATAAGTTCTCTTTACAAGACGATTTAAATTAGTTTCAATTTGTCATATTATCAAAACGATTCTAAGCCAGGACCGAAGGTTCCTGCAGTTGCATTGGAACACAATGTGGCCGCTAGGGACTGCAGCCCCCTAAAAGAATATTGAAATGACTCAATCGTCACCTCATACTCAAGCAGAGAGGTGGTTTGCTTGTAATTAAACAATCTACATGTATATGCTATTGAGAATATTACATTTCAACTAAAAAAGAAATGGATCAAAATATCGCCGTCCTCAATTAAAAATACAAATTTTATGATAAACTCCAGGAAGAAGACTTTCCTATTCTAACTCTCTATTATTTTGGTTATATACCCACACTTTGAACCCTATTCTATATACTACTACTGTTGATTGACCAGTTTGACCTTCCTTTCACCAATGTCAAATGACCAGTACGTAATCATATGGTACAGTGACCCCTAAGTTCCCCAGATCGTTTAACCATCGGAAATTTCTCTGTTTGCACTTTAGTGGAACAAACACAAACCTCAAAAGTGATTGAAATAACTTTCGTTGACCATAATTTTTTATTAAAAAAAGGCACCTGAGTGTGTATTATGGTACACTGTTAATTTGGTTGATTCATACGTTAAGGAGTAATCTATTCAGCATTCCGTGGGTTTCACAGATTTGGTAAAAATGACCTTTAGTCTGACCATATTTTTTTTTTTTTTTTTTTTTTTTTTATGGTCAGTTTTTATTCTTTTCTCTCTTGAAACAAATTATAATCATAGTACAAATTACAATCATCATATGTAACTCTCACTGCAAATGTGATGACATTATAAATCAGTATAAATTTTTGTCTTACAAACGGCTTCAAAAGAAACTTACACAGTTAGTTCCTATACATCATATTTGAAACAAAAATTCATATTTTCAAAGAAAACATATGCAGTTGTATAATCCATATGGGCTTTTATATCGATTATAAGACGAATTGGCTTATTACTCTATGACCTTCTACATCCATTGTGCTGGAATACTACCCCGTAGCACAACCCACCCCCTAACTAGCGTATTTGATGGACGGGCAAGGGGACATTCGCCCTCCTCCCTCCTGATAAATTTTTCGGGGAAAAAAAAAAGGAATCAGTTTTATTTCATAGTCGTCTGGAAGTTAGTAGTGAAGCACTTTAGGAAATCGTTTGTGAGTCAGTATAATCTGATATTATTCTTGGAAACGCAAAGAGAAGAAAAGAAGAAAAACACCAAATGATGCCAAAACCTGAAGACGTGGAACAAAGGTATAATAAACAGCGGATCCATGCATCTCCAACCCCACCCCAACTGTTTCCTCGATGATCTAAATGTTTACTACTTCGATGTTGAGGCCTAAAGGTATCCTTATGTGCCCCTCCAGGTAATGCTATCTCTACCAATATTTCCCAAGAATGGATTTGAACTGGTTGATACTTGTCGCACTGACTGCTGAGTATGATAAGGAATTCCAGTTGTTGCAACTTCGCACAGAGAAGGAATTTTGAAGAAGCACAGATTTACACTTTTACAGATTTACAAATGGACAACCATAAGCTCACATGTTCCGCCCCAGTCTGAAGCCAAGGTTGAATACGCCACTACAATAACATTGACAGCTAGGTTAAAAAGCTCCCTTTAAATTTGAAATTCGACTGTGTAATTCCCACTGAGCGAAAAATTCTGAGCAAAGTATTTGCCCCCCCCCCCTCATATTGAAAATGCATCATGTATACTGATGTGATTATAATCAATTGTACCTATTGTGTGTGTGGGGGGGGGGGGGTGGAGCTTTACATTGTGTTCTACATTACATGAAACACATTCCATTAAAAACCATAAGTAATATGAATATAGCATATATATTGTATAAATAATACATTATAATAAAACGAAAATGTGGAAAGTAACCGCACAGGCCATCGGCCTTTCGAGGCAGAACCCTAACAAATAAATTGGACAATATGTACTACAAGCACAGAATATAATTTAACAAACCGACAAAGTAAAGTCAATCAGAATATAAATAACACCTTAAGTGCAACAGACGTTATAAGTTGATCAATAGTTATGACAGTAGGAGCTAATAGTGATGGGCAAGATTTAAGTTCAACAGAAAATTCCACAGCTTAGGCTAGTGTATTTCACAGTGGTCCTTGTGAATAAGAAGGAACATACAGGTTACTGGAATTTCATTGTTTGATATCTTTTAGCGTACTTGTCAGTTATAAAACGTTTATAGAATACTGGTGGCAGAACACTCTTCAATAAATAAGATTACATAAAGTTTGCGATCCGAGTATCATGTGGTCAAATACTTTTAAAAAGATAATCTATCGACGCCCAAAAATGAGAGTTTGTAATAACAAGTGTTGCACGTTTTTGTAATAAAATAAGTCTGTTCAATGAAGCCGTTGCAAAATTTCCCCATAATATAGTACTATAAGATAAGTGTGGTAAATTCATTGTTTGGTAAAGGTTGACAAAAATACGCAAACATAAGTATTGTATTCTTATTTGTATTATGAAATACTGGGCTCTCTCCAAGTACAAACGGATGTTATGTACAGAAGAGACTGGCCGTATAAAGAACACACATTAAATAGATCTGTCTATCGTGGTCATTCATATAGCCTAGCTCTATAAGCTAGGAAATATGTGTTTGAAGAACCTGTCTATAGTATTAGTAATGACATTCATCACTTATTTTGTTGCCCTTGGATGGCTTTAATGGACAGGTTTGACTGTAAATGTATTACCCCCCCCCCCCCCATCATAATGAAAAATGCACCAAATGCCCTGATTATGCTGATTATAATACACACTCGAAGTCGGGGCTTTTCGATAGTTATGCTGGTATACCATGTATACTCGGTGAAAGAAGAGTCATATTCCATTCTATAGTACAACGGGTTCAAATATGTTTATTCTTCCTTGCTTTAAAGCCCCACTGCACTTCTTATAGCTACTTGTGCCCTCTATATAGCAAACAATGCCTATAATCTCAGGGGCGGATCTGGGGGGGGGGGGGGCGGCCAAAAAAATATATAAACAAATTAGTGCTCATTACCCCCCCCCACCCCCCACTGAGCGAATTTGCGGCCGGCGCGATTTAAAATTAAAAAAAATATGTCCTCTTACCCCCCCCCCCCCACCCCCGCTTATTCAGCGGCCGGCTGAGTCGTTGCGAATTTTCGGCCCGATTTAAAAATGTTAAGCCCCCCCCCCCCCTTGAAAAAATCCTGCGTACGCAACTGATTTCACCCCATGCCATTTTGTGTTTCAAATTCCTTTTTAGATGACCTACGTACAGTAGTAGTTTGCTATCATAATTTAATTTGAGTAGTGCCAAAAAAGAAGAAGATACTTAACAGAAATAAATAATATTGTGTACATGACAAACGGGAGAATTGTCCACGAGTACGTCACAATCCAATGACCAAACTGCCCATTTGAAATTTGCATAGATTTAGGAAACTCATATTTCAAACATTCATAAATCCTTTATTATTGGTTCGATTTATTTCAACTTCTGCCATTATTTGGGTTATATTTTCCGCTTTCATACAAATGAAGTTATTACGATGGGTTGGATTGTCTTTTCAATATTTACATCAAATTGCGACGTCATATGAACCAAAATGCTTTATATGTAGGCTTACTCCTCGGTATCATTTTTCCTCAATAAAGAATTAAAATAATCCCTGTATAAATCAAAAGATTTCTCCAAACCACTTTTTAAGGCGCGTTTCCCAAATAGAACAATGATACTGTATAACCATAATAAACCAATGTGAAAAATGAAACAGTCTACTTTTTCTGAAACTTTATTTGATAAGTCACCTTATACCACTGTCATACCAGACCAAAAATAGATAGATATTTATTGTCCCAATTGAAGGCCTGTTATCATTTGGAATCATTATCATCATCATTATTGTTATCAATATCATTATTATTTATTATTATTATTAGTTATTAGTATGATAATGATCATCATAAGTATTATAATTATTATCATCATTATTATTATTGTGATCATTATTATCATCATCATCGCCATTATTATCATTACTGCTATCCACTCAACTTATACGGAGAGAACATTTAAATGGTTTTTTTTATCAGTTTTCAAAGTACTATAGGCTTTTATAAACACAAAAAACTCACATGGACAAAGTGGAATACAATATCAAGGTGAACAATTTATTGGAATATCAATCAAGGCCTCACAAAATACATTGAATACAATTCAAATCAAACTTTATCAATAAAACTATGTAAAATACATCTTTATCATAAATTTTTCATGTAGATTTCATCATACTTTTGACAAATAAATTGAAAGATTCTGTATTTACATCAAATAAATATAGTACATTTTTACAATGAATACATTTGTTATGATACAAAAGCTCTTATTTTGCAATAAAATAATATTTCAAAGCACACTAAATGAAGTTTCTTTTTTTTCTTCTGAAAAGGCAAAATATATCAAAGTAGAACCACTTTGGTGTATATATGAAAACATTTCACTCACAATGGATGGAACATCATGTTATTTTTTAATTATTTGTACAGAACAGAAACAAAAGAAATCAATAACTTGGAAGGAAAATCTATTAAAAAAAATACAAAATATACAATGTGGTAGAGGAGAGAGAAGACACAATAATATTAAAATTAGCAAAAAATACGCTGCAACTACAATGTGAATAAACAGACTTGAATGCATAATAAAAAAGACCAGAACTGGCTATTTTAAAAGCTATATAAATCCCTACGTAAAAGATGGCGTTTCATAAAAGCACTACATGTAGGATAACTATAAATTAGAGACGAGTCTCACTCGAAGTACATGGAGCTACATTATTTATTGAAATATGACAATATTTTGATTAATTTTCACTCTGCCATCGTTGAAACTGACATGTTTATATCATAAATTGATCATGATGTGAGAAAAGCATAACATTTCTCTTTTATTGTTAATCCCCCAAAGAGTTTCAGAGGATCATGTTCAGGAACAGGAGGAAACACTGGCATGCTTTACTTCAAACATATCAGAAACGGGATCAAATGTGGGTGGGATGTCTGGCTGTGTTACAGTAAATTTGATTTGTTTTCATACCTAAAGAGAAACTGCAATAACATACTTTGAAATGAAAATAAAAACAAAATCATAGAATTTCCTCTTCCCCAGTGAAAATTGTGGAATTAAGAAACAGCTGCAAGTTCTGATCTCAACTCCCAGGAAAATGCACATGGTAAAGCTACAAACATCAATATATCGTTGTTGAGAGCGAAAAGGGCGTTAACCCTGTGTTAATGTACATGACCTAACTCCCTTCTGCCTCGATCTAACCAGACACAATAAACTATTAATTCACTCTCATACTAGAAAAGTGCATACAACTTTGTTTGGTATAAGATTAAATGATAATCCTACTATACAAAGCATCAATATATTGTTTGTTCAGAGGCAGAAGGGCGTTAACTCTGTGTAAAAGTGTACGACTTAATGCCCTTTTGGCTCTCAGCATGGCAGATGAATACACCATTCTCTCTCATAGGTGAAAAGTGCATTCAACTTTGTTTGGTCCGGCCGGATACAAACATATTTTAACAAATTGACAGCTGTGTTTAATTTAACCGTAATTCTAATCAAATTGTCAATTTTAACTAAACGTGGGTTAAGTCTCATACCACAAAGTAAATACCTCAGGTCAAGCAAAATTGCCAAGCTTCCTGTCTCTCTCTCACACACAATGGACACTGTGAAACTAACCTAATGTACCGGTCAAATCTGACCTTGTGTTAATTGCAAACTTGATGGCATGGCATCATTACTCATGGTACCAGCAATTTGATGATGCATTTTACAGTGACCAGCGCTTCATAGCCAACACTTAAATCCAAATCTTCAACACTGAACCAATCACTATATCTAATCCTATATATCTATAACCCGAGTGATAAAACTGACCTTAACATGAGATCTAACCTTATATCTTTAACAAAGATGAGGCCTGCGTTGAATGCCACAACCTTATCATGACCTTATCAGGACAGTATCATCGCCTTTTGAGCTAATCATGACCTCATGACCATAACATGGACTTATCAGGATCTTACCATCACCTTATCACCACCTCATTATAACCTTATCGTGACACTATCATCATCTTATCAAGACCTTTTCATGACCGCATCATGGACTTAGTCATAACCCTATCTTTACATTAAGAGCATCTTATTAGCATCCTATAACCTTTTCACCACCTTACTGTCACCTTATCATGACCGTATCAAGACCTTAACATGACCTTATCATGACTGCATTAAAAACCTATGACCTTATCTTCATTATTATTATTATCATCTTACCCTCTTATCATCTATATAAACTTTTCATCACCTTACTGTCACCTTATTGTGGTCTTTATCATGACCTTATCAAGACCTTAGTCTTAGTAGTCCAAACTCATCAGAAGGGCTGTGCCTCGCTTGGTCCAGTGGTCAGGCTGGTAGGCCCCAGATTTGAGGTCCACTGCCACCACGAAGGACGCTCGTGCAGTGGAGCCCGTACGGTTTGGATAGTAGTAGCAGGGACAGGTGTAGTTACCTGAAGGGGGAGAGGAAGTGATAACGAAGCAGGTTAGCATAAATTATCTTGAAATTCAAGGATTGTTTTTAATATGAACCAAGCCAGGTGGGCTGCCGAAATAGAAATAATTTGAATGTAGATGTAAAGATACAAAAAGGAGGAACAGACATATGGAGAGATAGACAGAGAGGAAAATGTAATGAAATACACAGAATTAGAAACAGAAAGACAGTGCCTACAAAGGACAAATAGAGGGACAGAGGAAAGAGAGGGAGAGAGAGAGAAAATAGAGGGAAAAGTGAGAAAGATATAGAGAAAGGGAGAAAGAAAGAGAGAAAGTGAGAAAGGGAGCAAAAGAGGGAGAAAGATAGAGAAAAAGGGAAAAAGAGAGAGGGAGAGAGAGAGACTTAATAGAAAGAAAAGGAAGAAAGAGAGAGAAAAGGGGAGAAAGAGAGAGAAAAAGGGAGAAAGAGAGAGAAAAAGGGAGAAAGAGAGAGAAATGGATAAAAAGAAAGAGAGAGAGAGAGGAGGGGAGAAAGAGAGAACTAGTTTATGAAATGGTGAAAAAGAGGTACATTAGATTCAGAGACCTAGAGGTAGATAGAGAATAACGAGACAGGTGAAGAAATAATTAAAAAACAAGAGAAAGAGGTATTTAAAAAAATGTAATATAAACAAACATGACAGACATAATCTTTCAGACAGGGTGAATATAAAATTCAAAAGAGATGAAAATAGAAAGATAGAGAGAAAGAGAGAGAGAGCGCGAAAGATATGCCAAAAGTCACAAAGGAGCTTTACATTTTAACCATCATTTGAAGTATGAATTACACCATGATTTATACCAAAACTGGCCGTGGACTGAGAAAATCAAATCGTGTAAATTCTAGTCACGACACGAGACACAAGGAATTATCTCACCTTTGCCGCTCTTCTTCTTGTTCTCCCCCGGTTTGAAGTGGATGGTCGGTATCGGACAGACCAGTTGCATGGGGTTGGCTTCCACCAGGCAGGCGTTCTTCTTGTCCCACCCCGCCCCCTCCAGGAAGAGGCCCTTGATCCAGACCCCGTCCTTGGGCTGCTCCACGATGTTGTTGTCGTCCACCGTCGAGACCACAAACTCCCAGGATAGCGAGTCCACCGAGATCTGCAAGGTGAGAGAGACACAGAGAGAGAGAGGATGACTATCAATAGATGAATCTAGCGGCAATCCTTCAGCAAAACACCAGTCTACTTCCACGGTGCACACTCACATTTTACTGTAAATATGTGATAATTATCATTTTCCAAACTCAACCTAGGTGAAATATGGGTACCTGCAGGAAGTAATATTATTTAAAAGGTTCAGCGCCTTTTTCAGGAGGGCAGCTAGGTTACAGCATTATTAAAGAAAGCTGACTGATTTTACCCAATGTGCTGAGAAAGTTCACTGACATTTGGCTAATTTTGTATGGCACTTGAAATATAAACCTGGATTCTGTTAATAATTATAAAGGAACCTAAAATCATCACATCTCCTTCAAGTCAAAGCAACAATTGGCTACACATTGACGTAGGAATAGTCAGACAACTTACATTGTTCTGTCTGGCCGAGGTCTGGAGGACAGCGGTCAAGAAACCGGTAGGGAAGGTGAAGCCAGACATCCAGAAGATGACCGGTGGATGAGCGGTGGTGGCCCACTTCTCAAACTGATCTACACGCATCAGCAGGTCGCGGGTCCAAGCCCCAAGCTGCTTGTTGGATGGGTAAGCCTAAGGAAAGAAGGTGGAAGACAGAAAGAAAAAAGAAGTGAACACTGTACTATAGTGCAAGCAAAAACTGCATTTGCTTTACAATTTATTGATTGATACATTGATTATCCCCAAGGGGGGGGGGGGGGGGTAATGGCCCCCAAGTTAAATTCTGAATTTGACTGTTGAGCAATGTGTTGGGACTATGGAAAGCCATTAGCATCTATGAAAATATTTTGTAAAAGTTATTTTAAAAGGCATAAAATGTTGATTCAAATCATTCATATTTTTTATTATCAAGGGGATTTAATGTTCTTGCTGTAGAATGTATAAAAAGTCTAAAAATACTTGAATTTTCGCTTTTGAATATATTTAATTTTAAGGCTACAAATGGCTCTCCATAATTTTTATGTCCGACTTAGGATCTTTGTGAAACACCTCCCTGGGCAACTGCTTTTTTTAAGCCCTATAACGTATCTTACCTTCTCCCATTTCGCTTTTGAATACATTTTATTTTAAGGCTACAAATGGCTCTCCGTAATGTTTCAGTCCAACTTAGAGATAACTTTGACTTAGGATCTTTGTGAAACACCCCCCTGGGCAACTGCTAAACTTTAAAGCCCATCTGTACTAGTTTGGCCAGTGGGATTACACCGCCTTGCAAGGTCACTGACAGGTGGTTATCTCATCAAATCAGCTCTCAATTAACATAAGAAAAAGGGGATCATGGGGGAGCAACAGGCACCGATCAGGCATTGTTTGCTATATAGAGGGCGCAAGTAGCTATCAGAAGTACAGTGGGGCTTAAGCCCTGTAACGTATCTTACCTTCTCCCATAGTGGGGGCACCCTGGCATCATGGATACAGTTGAAGATCTCTTCCAGCTCACTGGACATCACCACAAGACCCTTGATACCCTTCTCCAGGTCAACCAGTGATGACCGGATGGCTTGGAGCAGGGCATTGTAGCGTTGGATCTACCAAAACAAACAAGAGAAATATAATACAGTCAAATCTGCTTTAGTAACCACCTGTCTACAAAGACCACCTGTCTTCAAATCCCACCTGTCTACAAAAAACACATTTTTTGTTTCCCTTGAAAATGGTTTCTCATTGAAACATATACTAAAGGATCCTGTACATAAAGACCACCCGTCTATAAAGACCACTTTTGTTGTCTTCCTTGGATGGTCTTTATAGACAGGTTTGACTGTACAGCACTTTGAATTGTACCTTTTATAGTGCACGAAATGCAACTTGGCTAACTCGGCACTGGAGACTTGGTTGAGCTTGTCAAGAGAGCAGGATCGTTCACAAATAATGGTGTGAATTCTTTTGCATTGGGCAAGTGTTTTAAAAGCCTAATTTTTAAGACTTGACGGGAGTCTTTAAAGTATAGTTACTAAAGAATTAATGCTGAACAACAAGACTATCTATCAATGAATAAAGACCTGGGCCCTGTCTTATAAACACAACTTATCTGTGATAGATATCAATCGCAACTCTTTATAAGACACGGCCCTGAAATCATTTCAAACAAAATAGATGGCACTGAATAGATGTTTGCTACAAGTACATGTATTTTTATCTGTAGTATCTCTCACCTCCTGCAGGAGAACCACATTTTGAGGTGAAGGGTCATCCTTGAGGATCTTCTGTGTGCCTTCGTAGTCAATGTCTGGTGGGATCTTCTCTAAGACATCAGCAGCAAGTTTCAATACCTACACAATGATATAATAAACATTAAGAGAGTCAGTGCTGTCCTAATATTGAGCGTTGTTCCTTTGACAGTACAATCCTTGAGGGTCTCCTGTGTACCTATGTTGTCCAGAACATCAGCAGCAAGTTTCAATACCTACACAATGATATAATAAACATTAAGAGAGTCAGGGATGTCCTAATATTGAGCGTTGTTCCTTTGACAGTACAATCCTTGAGGGTCTCCTGTGTACCTATGTTGTCCAGAACATCAGCAGCAAATTTCAATACCTACACAATGATATAATAAACATTAAGAGAGTCAGGGATGTCCTAATATTGAGCGTTGTTCCTTTGACAGTACAATCCTTGAGGGTCTCCTGTGTACCTATGTTGTCCAGAACATCAGCAGCAAGTTTCAATACCTACACAATGATATAATAAACATTAAGAGAGTCAGTGATGTCGTAATATTGAGGGTTGTTCCTTTGAAAATATTATCCTGGAGGATGTTCTGTGTGCCTTCATAGCCCAGAATATCAGCAACAAGTTTCAATACCTACATAATGACAGACATAACAAACATTAAGAGATTTACAGATGTCCTCATATCAAGGAGTGCTACATTGACAGTACAATCCTTCAAGATCTTCCGCGTTCCCTTGTGGTCAATGTCATTACCTACAATGGCACATGTAACAAAATGGAGATTCAGTTCCACAGGAGGGGCCTACATCAACACTTTGTAGCTTTGTGTAATGAGTGGGTTGCTGCCTTGACAGAACCGAAGGGCTTCTTTTGCAATTAATCCTCTAGATTCCATTTCTAATTCTATACCTCTGTACATTCTTGTAAAAAAATGAATCACCACTTCTACCAAATAAAGTCTGTTTAGTACTGTCTGGTAGGTGACAAAACATTTGCTCCAGAATCACTTGCTCTAGGCATTGTTTTACCAAAGATATACATGCAGGGCTAGGGTTAGGACTACAATATGGTTTTAGGTAAGGTTTAGGGTTAGGCTTTTTTATTGTGTTTGTTCCAGGTTTGAAGTAAGGAATTCTGAAAGTGTAAGACATTGGAGTGGAGCAATTGCCACCAGGGTACGTTTGTAGAACTGTCTGGTCACATCACAGCTCTAGTTTCAAACATGCAAGGAGAATAAGTGGTGAATCCAAGGAACATACCTTTGATTCTTTGCTCTCTCCAACCTTGACGGAGACTTGAGGCTGCAGAGAGATCAGGGTATCGAACAAGGTCTGGGTCTCGGTAATCTGTGAAGCGATGTCTGCATTGGGGTGCTGGCCGAAGGCTTCAGGATGGTCCACACCGGGTAACATACTGATGTATTCCTTGTAGGTCTGGAGTGGGCCATCTTTGGGAATGTAGTAGGTCTGCAGGGAGGACAGTCTGTATGGAAGGTGAGAGATATAGTTATGAAGTGGCTAGAGTTATAGGCCATCTCTAGAAGTATTGTAACTCTGCAGAGAGGAAAGCCTGTTGCTACAGTGAAAGGGATAATGGTTATGAAATCACTAGAAATAGGTCAGGAAAATGCTGATGTATTCCTTGTACATGTAGGTCTGGGCCATCTTTAAGGATTTAGTAGTTCTGAAGAGTGGACAGCTTGTAAGAAATACGAAAGGAACAGAAGTTATGAAATGACGAGTGGGATTGGCCATGAACTTAATACCGGTGTACTCTTTGTACGTCTGAAGAAGACCATCTTTAGGAGTGTTTTAAAGATACATATAAGTGGACTCTAATGGGGAATTCGACACCGTTTGGGTGTTTACCCAATAACAGGTCTTGTCAATCACCAGGATTAGCCTTCAGTTTTAAGACCAACAGGCTTCATGTAACGATTTGTCTTTTCCCTTTATGGTAAAGTAATTATCTGACATTTGCATCACCTGAAGACTCTTCGAGAGACAAGGGGAGATTTCTTGATTGGCCTACAGGTTTACTGTGTGCAGACTTGTACACCCAGTGATGGTATTTCCACCAAGCCTGGTGTCAGCAAATTATGACCTTCTGCACATGGAAAATGATGACCCACTGGCTTTAAGTTTGTAGTATTGTAAGCCAGCAGCAGAGATGATAAGGTTGGCCATGGAATGTCTAGTGGTATACATACTGCAGTGTTGAACTAACAAGGACACCTAGCATCCTTGTAAGTGAATTTTGGAGAACTTACTTAAGGAAGGGTGTGGTCAAGGAACTTACTTGAGGAAGGGTGTGGTCAAGGAACTTAAGGAAGGGTGTGGTCAAGGAACTTACTTAAGGGTGTGGTCAAGGAACTTACTTAAAGAAGGGTGTGGTCAAGGAACTTACTTAAAGAAGGGTGTGGTCGAGGAGCTTACTTAAAGAAGGGTGTGGTCAAGGAGCTTACTAAAAAAAGGGTGTGGTCAAGGAACTTACTTAAAGAAGGGCGTGGTCAAGGAACCTTCACCGAAGTACTCATTGATGTAAGTCATGAGGAGCTTTCGATCCCAGTCATCTGTGATGTGACCTCCGTAGTTGACCCCTGCGATGAGGTACTTGAGGGCGTCCCAGGGTGTTTCGTCGTACTCGTCAAGGTAGATACTGAGCAGGTTTTCAGACACCTGAATCCATGAGATTGTTCCAATAGAAAAACTTGATGAATAAGACTCTATCATTTGATATGAACCCCACCCTACATGAACATTTGCAAGTGACATTTTTCATTTAATTGTTTGGGTGAAAACATAGCACCGGGAACAAAGTCATTATTGCATTCACAAGCACATCTAAATCTACCGTAGTTGGAATTGTCAGGCCACCAAATGGAAGATCTCTACGGGTCTACACTATGACTAGACAGAGCACTCCAGGGCCATGTCTTGTAAAGAGTTCATATTAATCCCAAATTATTTGATGCCAACTATGTACATCAGAGAAAGGAGCTAGACAACAAACTTGTACTTGATAAGAGGACTTGCAATCGATTTGGATCAATCACAACCCTTTATAGGACGGCGCCCAGTATAGTATAAATTGAAATTTAACGAATGTTATTTCATGAGATGTTCTATTTCATTCAATCATGTCTCTGTATTATTGAGAAAAAAATATTTATTTGAGATTATCTTTTGTGACAATGTGAATTGCAAATAAAACTTATTTTTAAAAAAATTAAAAAATTAAATGAAGACGGCGCCCAGTGCTACCTATAAAACTCAAAGGGCCATTAAAACTCACCTCGAAATCGGAGTCGTTGAAGCCGTACATGATGTTCCACCCGAGCATGCGGAACTTCTTCCTTTCCAGGAGTACAGAGTGGAAGAAGCAGAGAGCAAAGAGAAGCTTCTTGTACTTGTCCTGCTTGGAGCAGCGCAGGAACTGCTGCTCGGTCACCAGGTGGTACAGACGCTTCAAGTTGGCTTTCAAACCCTGTCAAGACGGAAGAGCAGAGAGATTCATAACCAAGAGGAGACATTTTTAAACCTAATCTAGCCATCCTAGCGCTGTATAGTAATATTTGAATATATGAATAATTGCGTTGGTACGGTGTGGTGGAGATCAAACTTAAATCGGCCAGATTCTGGACTAATTTAACCGGTTTACGATAAGCCTCCCGATTTTCTTGCACTGTCTTTTATTTTAAATAAACTTTGCTTTGCACTTGTAATTTTGATATGAAATCTCATTATTTGATAAATTATCGCATCAGATGTGAGCGTATCATGAATATTTACGACTAGCACATGACGTATAGGTTTCTTTGAGCCAATCAAATGCAGCAGTAGGATGGCTAGGTTAGGTTAAAAAAGAAGACGCAACCGGGAGGTCAAACTTCAAACATCCCATTTAAATATGTGTTTAATAGAGAATTAACACATCTTTCTACGGGATGTCCACACTCCACACTCATGACGGTTTTGAGAAACTGGCCCTAGGATACTATTGAAAGCATCGTTATCGTAACGTTACTTTAAAATACTGAAACATCTTTATTTCATGCTGAATGGGGCCGAGCATTTATAATGTGCGTTGGACATTGAGCGTTTCATGTTTGCGTTTTGAAACACATTTATTTTCACGACCGTCAAAAAATCGCTTGTAATTGCTCAAACGCAACCAAGTTTTAAATTAAACGTCTTTGAAAACCATGTTTCTAGGGTGAAAAAGTGTCTCTTGAACGCACTACCATAAGACTCTTCTTACCCTTTTCACCCTAGAAACAAGGTTTTTAAAGACATTTTGTTTAAAACACTGTTGCGTTCAAGCGATTTTTCGTCAATCGTTTCAAAACGCAACATGAAACGCTGAAAAAGATGCATTTTATATTGTGATTCTACAGAAAACACATCTTTTTCAGCGTTTCATGCACCCTAGGACTCTTCTTACCTTTGGCGGTTCTGTGGTCATCTTGATACCAGCCTGGAGGATGGAGATGGGGAACTCCGGGTTGGGGCTGCTGCTGAGCCACAGTCTGAAGTCGGGGTGGGGCTCCTCGATCTGCAGCTGCTCCACCAGCTTGTCCAGCTGGGGCATCCAACTCAGGGACAAGTGACAGTTAGCCAGGAAGACCCAGTTACCCTAAGAGGAAAGAAGATGGTGTATATTAAGTTACCATAGTGATGAATACATCCTTCATAGAACAGGGATGATAGTGAGCACTAAAAAGTTTTTTTTTTCCTCAACGCGTAAAAAAAACAGTAAAGAAAAAGGATTCGGGGACAAAAAAATAGCATTCCACAACATTCCCCCCCTTTTGTGTAAGAAAACATGGGAAAATATGGAAAAAATTGGGGAAATAAAGAAGAAAAAAAAAAAAAATATGGGAAAAATTAGGTAATTATCAGGCTTGATAGAAAGAGTTTCCCTTTTCTTCAATTTTAGTACTATAATCAGACATGGAGTTTGGAGATGAGGCACCCCACCTCCCTGCCATAAGGAATTAATCTCAAGGACAAGTGAGAGACAAGTGAATACCTAGTTACCCTTGAGTGGGGAGGACAGTGATGATATGATGGGTTTCCATGGTGGTGTGTTTCATCTTGTAATTCATCATTATCATAACAATAATACTAGTCACTATCATCATCACAATAATAGTCATTATATTCCACATACTAAGAATCTTGCTCTACGATTCGTCAAAAGGAAATCACGTGATGAAAGATAGTTCGCCCATTATGGGATGGGAGAAGCAAAAAGTTTGTTACACTGTGTAGATAGTACTACTATCTACACAGTGCAACGCACTTTCACTGAAGATAGAGGTACTATCTACAAAGGGCAACGCACTTTCACTGAAGATTTTCCAAAAGTGCACTAAAACAGGCGTAATAATAAGCGCGCATCACCAATGAGCGCAATTAAAACAAACACATGCGCGCACCGTTCCCTCAAGGGGTTGGGTTAAAAAAATTAACTTTTTTTGAGTGAATTTGGGCCTGGTGTCTTTTATGTAGATGCATACACGTCCTTTTCTTTTTGTAGTTAAATTGTTTTAGATGTGGAATATAAAGCAAATAATCACCTTTTGGTTTTAGGCGATGGCAAACTATCACTTCCTCGTCGATCAGAATGTATACGCTATCTTTCCTCAGCTTCGCTTCGGAAAGATAGCTACTTCCAGATCGCCTCGGAATTGATAGGTTGTCCCATCACCTTCACCAACGGTAGTTATTTGCTTATTATCATCATCATCATTTCCAATGCTAGCACCATCACTAACATCATCATCACCTTTCATCACCCCACAACTACTACAAAAATTATCATAATCAACACCACCACCACTATCATCATCATAATAGTCTTCATCAAAATAGTCATCATCGTCATCATCATCATCACAATAATAGCCATCATCAACATTGCGGTCTTTCACCCTACCACTACTACAAAATTTATCTCATAATCATCACCAACATCACTACCATAATCACCACTGCCGTCATCGTCAACATCCCCATCACCATCACTATAAACACAACCATCACCATCCATCATCTTCTTCTTCCTCCTCATCATCAACACCCTCCTCCTCCTCATCATCATCATCATCATCGACACCCTCCTCATCTCCTTACCTCTCTCACGCCTTCCTTGATCATCCTGGTAGCGATACGAGCCTGACCTATCATAATCATCACCACCATCATCATCAACAATAACACCATGATCTCTCTCATCATAAACACAATCATTACCATTACCATCACCATTATCATGATCTCTTCCTGCCCTTCCTCCTCTCCTTACCTCTCTCACACCTTCCTTGATCATCCTGGTAGCGATGGGAGCCTGACCTATCATAATCATCACCACCATCATCAACAACACCATGATCACTCTCATCATAAACACAATCATTACCATCACCATCACCATCACCATTATCATGATCTCTTCCTGCCCTTCCTCCTCTCCTTACCTCTCTCACACCTTCCTTGATCATCCTGGTAGCGATACGAGCCTGACCTATCATCATCATCACCACCATCATCATCAACAATAACACCATGATCACTCTCATCATAAACACAATCATTACCATCACCATCACCATTATCATGATCTCTTCCTGCCCTTCCTCCTCTCCTTACCTCTCTCACACCTTCCTTGATCATCCTGGTAGCGATGGGAGCCTGACCTATCATAATCATCACCACCAGCATCATCAACAATAACACCATGATCACTCTCATCATAAACACAATCATTACCATCACCATCACCATTATCATGATCTCTTCCTGCCCTTCCTCCTCTCCTTACCTCTCTCACGCCTTCCTTGATCATCCTGGTAGCGATACGAGCCTGACCTATCATCATCATCACCACCATCATCATCAACAATAACACCATGATCACTCTCATCATAAACACAATCATTACCATCACCATTATCATGATCTCTTCCTGCCCTTCCTCCTCTCCTTACCTCTCTCACGCCTTCCTTGATCATCCTGGTAGCGATAGGAGCCTGACCCTGACCCAGTGAGAGGGCGTGGAACCGATGGCTCATCTCGCTCTGCTCGGCTAGCTGAAGGAGCATGCTTGTAGGATCCTAGCATAGCAATGGAGATGGAAAAACATCAATATACAGTTAACATCTGATTTATTCATACCCCTTGTAAATTTGATATTTATGTGTTTTTCTTGTAACTTGTTTGTAACTCGAGAATTAAAGGTGGACTGTTTGAAAAACTAGGGCCTTTGTTGAATACTCTTTGATGTAAGCTTTCATATGTCATATTCTCAATAAACACAAATGTATAGGGATGAATAATTTGTTCACATACTTAAAAAATGACAAAACTTGGTAAAGGTATGAATAATAGCAAATTAATTGCATGATTTCTAATATTCCCCCAAGTGGCCATTATGAAGACAAAATTGGCAAAAATTACATAACCTTGTCAATTGTACAGGTGCATCAGAAAGTCGACTCACAATGCTCGTTTATGCTTACTGAAAATGTATCTAAACTTGCAATATCTCTTTTATACAAGCAATTTTGAAGAAAAAAAGTTAGCGACAGAGCAACATATTGGGGATGATTTGTACCCCTTAAACAAGGTAACTTAGTAATAATAATTCTCAGCGTTTTTATGTAGCGCTTAATACACGGGCTATGTCTCTAAGCGCTTTACAGATAAATTACTTCCCATGTCATCGGATATAGGATATGCACATTCTCCACTTCCTGGGGAGCATTCCAGCCATGCAGGCACCATTTTACAGATGCTAACAATGCTGAGCAAAACTACATCAACCTCTGCATCCTACTGGGTACCCATTAAAACAGAGAGTGGCAATTGTAGATTAAAGTCTTGCCGAAGGACGTTAGTGCCTGACTGGGATTTGAACCCTGTACCTTGTGATCTACAGTCGAGTGACTTAATTATCCACCGGACTATTTCGCTTCTACTCCACAATGTAAGTACTTACCACTCCAGTGGAGAGTACAAAGATGAGAGGTGTTTTGGTGTTGGAATCTTCCAGGACTGCTTTCATGTCCAGGACAGGAGGCTCAACAAATCTATAAAAGTATAAAAAGGAAAATTTATGAATGTCAATATCATTTTTTTTCACTTTAAAGGGAGTGTAGCTTGAGAAATACTGGTAAACGCCATTAACGGTAGTCAGCAACTTAATCTCTACATGGTCAGCGTTCGCGTAACAGACCAAAGTTCTCCTCATGCTTCGGTTATGTGTAATTTGCATGCACGTAATTTCTGCGGTCGCGTCCTCAGTAGTCGTATGATACCCGATTGGCCCCCAAGTCAGGCCACGGGAAAGACACGTAGTCTTGTCAGGCTACACTCCCTTTAATCGCTTTACCTCATCAAATCCCATTTTTATTTTTATGGCAAGTAGTGAAAAATCCCATTTACAATTCTTCAAGTCTCTGTGTTTTCCAGGTTGTTAGCTTATTTCCGGTTCTCTTGAGTAAGCGATTTATATTACATTCTACAAGAAAGAAAAAAGTCTTGTTTTTTCAGACACGTGTCATACATTTTCTACCACCTAAGTTAGAGTCATTCTAAGTTAATTTGATTAGAAGTTGATGCCTCTCTCAAATAAGTGTCAAGCCACACTTTTCAATTGAAATGTAATTCATTTTAAGAATAGAATACGAATCAGGGCCCTTGTTTTATAAAACATCTTACCAGAAACAGGTTTCAATAATGGATATAGGCTACTGAGATCACTGACTTTTATTGTATAAAGTGGCAAATTTATTACAGACTTACTTGTTGCAGTTGCTGTATTTTAAAGAATTATTAAAACTGCATGGGCCCAGAATTAGGCAATCTTGAGAAATAGAAGGAGAAGAAGATGGAAGAGAAGGAAAAGATGAAGAAGAAGGAGAAGGAGAAGGAGGAGAAGGAGGAGAAAGAGGAGAAGAAAAGAAGAAGAAGAAGATGGAGAAGAAGAAGAAAAAAAAAGATGAAGGAGAGGAAGAAAAAGAAGGAGAAGAAGAAGAAGAAGAAGGAGGAAAAGAAGAAGAAGTAGAAAGAGAAGGAGCAGGAGAAGGAGAAGATGAAGAAGAACAAGAGGGACAAGAACAAGAACAAATACAAGAAGAAGAACAAACTCACTTGGAGCCCAGATTGTTCACAATGAAGGAGGTTGAACAGAAGGAGACACGATCCGGTCGGAGCGAGCGAATAATCAACATGCGCTGGAGCTCGTTACAGGCGTTGTCCCATTCACCTGCAAATATAAAAAAAAAGTGTGTCATAAATACATTAATCCACTGGGAGAAAATTCATTTTCCTTTCAACATGCATTTCCTATGGGCTTAAAACTAATTAAGTCATCTCAAATTATTATTCAGCAGGTTAAATCCTGCCCCATGGGCATCAATTACCCACCCAGGTACATTGACGTTGAACACTTGGTTTGGAGCTAATTAAGAACCTCACGTTTTCTATTGCTACATCAGAAAAGATGTAAGATGCACTCCAAAATTAATTCTCATGGGACTTATCAAATGGCAATTTTAATTGGAAAAAAACCCTCTGAATTTTACTCTTGAAAGTACATTTATGAATTTTCCATCAATGTGGTGGCACCACTAGAAGGGAGTTGAAGACGTGCACCTTGGCAGATGCAGAGTATACTCTACCGGTATTTGGTAATTGCTGTGCAGCAAAATATTTTTATTGAGATATCTGGGGATCTTTTTCTTCTTCACACTTTCAACATCCTGCTAACTTTGACCTCTTACATCCTAAATCTCATCAATTCATCATTACATGCTAATGTATTGGCAAGCCACGTTTGATTGCAATTGCTTCAATGGTTCTCCATTAATTGGTGTAACAAAAATTGGGATGGAGGGAGAGGGCAGATGGGCAACCTGAAAATTTCATTTTGTACCCATGCAAGACAGGTGTCAGTCTTCGGACTGTTTGCTCTTGGTTTTTGATGCGTTTTGATTTTAATAAAATCCTATATATATATATATATATATATATATATATATATATATATATAATGCCTCAATATAAAATAACAACACCAACAACAATACTACTACTAATAATATTTTCTTATTCCAGCGTTTATCCAGGGTAGCCTCATCATTATTAATACTGTTCACCCTGAGGGCCCTGCAATCATATTATTACCCCCGCTTTACAAATAAAAGATTTACATCTCAAGATACCAACCTGGAAGACCTGCTAGCTCTGGTTCTGCGCTGGTGTACCAAACGTGCCAGTCCCTTGGATACTGCTCAAAGGCCTGTACTATACCATGGAAGTTAGCCAGTCTGAGGGAAGGAAACGATACATGAGACGGATATGAACTTCATTCTCTGAGACGGTTAACCCCCTGACTACTGAATTATTTAATTCCAATAGGATCATACAGGAGCCATCAAGTTCCGGTAGTCAATAGGTTTACGTGCTGAAGGCCTGTTAACAAAATCTGGTATCAATACTAAACAAGAGATGTCAGCTACTGAAATCATTACATTTGTTTGGTTGCATGGCCATGAATTTCAAAATGAGACAATTGTCATTTTCATATGAGGAATTACATGAAGGAAACAGAAGCCAGCTAGCTAGGACTCCCCCAAGAGAAGAGGCTTTAGAGAACATAATGGTCTAAAATTCAGAAACACCTCCAGATTTAAAACTTCTTAAAAAAAAGTACCCCCCCCCCCCTCTTACAGTCTTACAAAATATACTAAGAAAAAAAATATTATATTGTGTAGGTCTACATAGCGGATTGTAATGAACGGTCAACCTATGTCTGCAATTAAATATTTTTTCTAATTATTTAGTTAATCCTGTATTAAAAAAAAACTGATTATTAGAGGGCTTTGGAGGTGTACACTTGTAGGTAGGGTAAAGATATGAATGGCCAACTAATAAATACTTTGAATTCTTGTATATAACAAGTATTTGCAGAAGTTAGAAGTCTTATACACCTAACAACAAGTAATACATTGACAGTATATTGCGTATTCCGTAAGAACGATGTGTGGGGAAGCTTTGAGCGCTTACATCTAGCAATACTGAGAAGGGGTAGGGGAATGCGGGGGAAGGGGTAGTGGGAATGTGGGAGGGGGGCAGGGAGGAGAATTCTGTGAGGAACATAGATTGGATGGTGCAAATAATAGTAACATATTGCATTTACAAAAATGGTAAGTTGTATATTGTTCTCCAGGAATTTTAGAAAGGAATATATGTTTTAATTTAATTTGCAACATGCTGAGAAATTCAAAATCATTGTTATCAATTTTTTTTCCCCCAACTTTTCAACATTTTCCCCCATGTATATTGTTTTCACAGACATTACATTATATTTTTAAAATGCATGTGGCCAATTTGAAGAGTAATATACAATAAATTTAACGCTGGAAATAATCCTCTCCTGGAAGGGTTCTAATGCCCTTATGCTTCCCAGCCTACAAAATATTATACATCGCATAAAGACATATGGTATACAGTTAAGTGTGCAAGTGCTTCACATCATAATCAATAAATCGATTCCCACAAAGTCACATCATAGTTCAACGCAAAGTGTACAAACAAATTGTGCAGTTCATACTTCAAATAAAAAACATGATCATTAGTTTTACGATGAAAACATGTTATACAGTGTAATTTTTCAACGTACAATGATAGGGGCAAAGTTGGTTAGATGGGTGGGCATCTTGACTATAAAGCATGTGGTCTAGACCAGGGGGGGGGGGGGGGGGGGTGTTTCACAAAACTTGTCATCAGTGACAAATGACAATTTTTGTTATCAGCTACTGAAATCCTTGCTGCTGATTGGTTATCAGCAGATTTGTCACTGATTTTTTTCATTTGTCATTGAAAAAAGGCTTTGTGTAACAGGTCCCAGCACAATGGGTAAACAAGTGCAACACATGTAACTAAATAGAACAAATGTTTTACCTACAGTAATACCTTTACCACTAAAGAAACAAAACTCCTCCTTACATCATAGTTAGTTGAATCTATTGGAAACTTTCCATCTTGAATTAGTATTGCTATCCTATCATACTCATAGCTTTATACTTCCGTAACTCCAGTCTTGTTGCCATACTGTTTATCACATTTCAGTGGTAACTATTAGAATCAAAACGTCCATTAGACTATCTATCTTTCTCTATTAAAATAAGGAACATTAACGCTCATGTCAACCACATGTCTCACATTCAAGGTGCTTGAAGCGTGACGTGATGTGACGTGATGTGACGTGACGCGATGTGACATATGACCCTGGTTTACAAAGCTACCCTGACGATTGTGGTGCTTACTGCATCGGAGTAATTTCTTTATTACCAAATACCCCTTTTTCCTGTATAGCAATGCAGTCAAGTGTTCAAGCCAATTGATGAAATCTATGACTACATGTATGTTCACAATGTTAACTGAACTCTATTTGTGAAGTTATAGAATACTACACTAATCTATCACCACACAGTTAACCCAAGGCTTGAATTCATGACCTTCACACCTACATGTAGAGTAAAGTGTTCAAACCACTTGAACTACAAAGTATCGGTGTTCAAAATGTGAATAGGTCTATATTTGAGATGTTATAGGGTCATATAGGGTTGCTTTTCAAATCACTCAAATCACTCAACTATAAAACTATGACTATGTATGAACAGATCCCTGTTTGTGAAGTTACTGCTCTGTTTCACCATCACACAGCTAACCCATGACTGTTCAAATCACCCAACCAAAACTATGCTATATATGTCCATGATGTGAACTTATCCCTGTTTGGGAAGTTACATATACTGTTCCACTATCACACAGTTAACCCAAGAATGTTCAAATCACTCAACCAAAACTATAACTGTATATATATGTTCATGATTTGAACATATCCCTGTTTGTGAAGTAACTACACTGTTCCACCATCACACGGTTAACCCATGACTGTTCAAATCACTCAGCCAAAACTACGACTATATATGTGTCCATGATGTGAACATATCCCTGTTTGTGAAGTTACTCCTCTGTTTCACCATCACACAGTTAACCCATTACTGTTCAAATCACTCAACCCAAACTATAACTATATATATATGTCCATGATGTGAACGTATCCCTTTTTGGGAAGGTACTACACTGTTCCACCATCACACAAGTTAACCCATGACTGTTCAAATCACCCAACCAAAACTATGACTATATATATATATATATATATATATATATATATATATATATATATATTAATATATGTTCATGATATGAACTGATCTTTTTGGGAAGTTACTACACTGTTCTACCCCACCACACAGTGAAACCCTCTTACCCACATCACCTTTTCTTCTTAATACAAATACTCACTTACTATGATGATGAAGGCCAAAGATGGAGGGGAAAAAATGGAGGTTAGGCATGATATTGATGGTTATTAGTTCTTTGAAGATGGCATGTTTGAAATCAAATGATCATTACTAGGCCCATAGCATAAAACTTACCATTAATGGCAACTACCATGTAAACAGGGCTCAACAGCCAATTAAAATCAAGGTTTCCATGGTAGATGCCATCAATGGTAACTTTGAGATACAGGGCCCTAGTGTGCATGGATGGATGAGAAACTTTTCCATGTAATTTGTTATGTCTAAATAGTAGCATGTAGAGTTGGTTAAAAAGTACTTTTTTTTATGTGAAATTATTTATCTGAAATCAACAAACATGTCGTAGGGGCATTAAATCATATATACCTATTACAAAGATTCAAAGCCCTTTTGGCCCTAAATAGATGACATTGTACTTAACACCCCCTCCCCCATAGGAGGTGAATTACACCAATTATAGGAAAAGTTTAGAAACATGACATAAACATGGAAAAGTTTCTCCTCGATATATTGGCCCCTTTCTCATACGATGGTGTTTTCACTGCATGATGTACAAATATACAGTAACTTCACTGCAGCATTTTACAGCTAATATGTACATCATGCAGATTTTACAAGCCATATGAGAACAGGGCATGGCGGTGCTGCATGTGGACATGTATATACATCTGTGAAGTCTGTTGAAGTATAAAGAACTAACTGCAAACTTAGTTTGGAATGAGAATTTTTTTTGTTTACCTCCTGCAATCCGATTAGGTAGATGATTATCAAAGCATCAAAGATACACTCGTTATCAAATATTCAAAGTTTGCTTCTCCTATATTTTGTAATTTTGTTCATGAATAATGACAAAATAATGGTGTGAATTGATAATTGACGGTGCTGTCCAGTGTATACAACATAAGTTATGAGCAACAACTAAGTTGAGACATGTTTTATAGTTGTAAGCCTCATTAATATCTTGGTGTACATGTACATCACTTTTAATTGGACATTTATCCAAGGTTTGATCTGATAATCTCTTAAATATTTGGTACCAATTATTTAACATTTCAAGTCTTGGACATGATTTCCATTAGAACACACAGAATGTGTGTTTTAAACACAGATGGAACTATACATGTGCAAACAAACTATGTATACAGTACAATAAACATATGCCTTGAATGGTTTCGATTTTAAGTTGTTGAGACACTATTGTGGAAATTACATGAAAATAATGTGTGTAAGCCCTTATGAAGAAAATGTAGATGGACAATTTGATATAAAAAATCTTCATAAGTAAAAAGGGTTGGCAGCTATATATATTTTATGAAGGGTTTTTTCTGACAGCACTTTATGTACAGTGAATCCAATGGACTTAATTCCTGCCAATATTTACCCAGTTTTGACCAAAGTATGTATGGGACTTACTTGTCAAGTTCAGTGATGTTATCCCATGAGGTATCAGCCAGCCAGTTAGCGCACGGATTGTCCATCTGCTCCTCTCTATCCAGAACCTATAAGTAATGATATCAAGTAGAAGTAGTTTAGAAGTAGTTTAGAAGTAATAAGGCAGTAATCCAACATTTGTTTATTATTACATATTTTAAAATTTATTGATTTTCTATGAATACTTTATTTCCAAGACGTATTGTAAAACAGCCTCTGAGGAACTAATACTTCAACAAGCTCTGCTTCTAGTTAGTTCCTCTTTTCTTGTGCCATTACTATTATATTTGTATAGTTCGATTTTATGTTTTTTGTAATATACTCATTCATTGTATTATGTATCATTATCAAGTATTATATGATATTCATTGTACATGTATTCAAATATCTTATTCAGAGATTTATTTTCAATAAAATAGCCTGTCAGAGTTTAAAAAAAAAATTGGAAGAAAAAAAATTAAGAAAAAAAACATTCATTGTATTATGTTTTGCATGAGAAATAAAATCATTTGAATCTTGAATGTTTGTCTTGATATGAAAAGACTCCTAAACTCAGACAGGTAGAGGACTTACCACGCCCCCTCGGAGGAAGAAGTTGTACTCATCCATGTTGAGCTTGCCGGCAGCCTCCAAGATCTTAGCACACATCTGGAAGGAGAAGAGAAGCTTGTGCTTCTCAAACAGACCGCGACAGGTGTACCTAGAAAGATAGGACAAAAAGAAGTTTAGAGGCAGTGTCCCAAAAGCTGTCAAATGTGTATCCTCTAAAATCTTGGCACATATTTGGAAGGAAAAGAGTAGCTTGTGCTTCTCGAACAGACCGAAGCTTGTGCTTCTCGAACAGACCGCAACAGGTGTACCTAGAAAGAAAGCACAAAAAGAAGTAAAGAGGCAGTGTCCCAAGAGCTGTCAAATGTGTATCCTCTAAAATCTTGGCACATATTTGAAAGAAGAGAAACTCGAACTTCTAAAAATTACAACAGCAGGTTTATTTAATAGTTGCAAATGAACTCAACCCATTTTCATCAAGAGACCTTAAGAAGAAAGCAAGATCACATACCTGTAAACAGCGTAGGTGTGATACTCGTTCAGGTTGAGAATTCGCTGCTCCAACTGAGGGCTCCTGTGACTCTTGTCAATGGACACGTTGAAGAGGTCAATGTAGGAGTCCAGCGAAAACTGGTACATGGGGTCGATGCGTCCCATGTCGTTGAGAACGAAGAACAAGATGGACGCTCGCTGGGCGCATCCACGATATCCCTATTGAGATATCAAAATGAAAAGATTTAATCAATTGAAATATATCGCCTCAAAAAAAAAGGAACTTGTAAATCAATAGGATATTAATGCAACAGAATTAAAAATCTGATAGTCATCCAGCACAGCAGATTCCTAGTTGAGCATGTACATATAATTTCATTACACTCATTAACTAAGAAAATCTTTACATATTCTCATAATCTAGCAAAGTACACAGAATCACACCAGATCATGCTAATGAAATACCACTGGTGCAAACCAGATCCCAGTGAATTACACCAGATCACATCAGATCACATGGGATTGCAAAAGACCCTACCAGATCAAACCGGACCACACTTCGTCAAACTGGATCACAATTATAATCACAATGAATTACACTAGATTACACCAGACCAAACTGGATGCACACCAGATCACATGGGATTGCAAAAGATCCTACCAGATCAAACTGGATCACACTGGGTCAAACTGGATCACAATTAAAATCACAATGAATTACACTAGACCACAACAAACCAAACTGGATGCACACCAGATCACATGGGATTGCAAAAGATCCTACCAGATCAAACCGGACCACACTGGGTCAAACTGGATCACAATTATAATCACAATGAATTACACTAGATTACAACAAACCAAACTGGATGCACACCAGATCACATGGGATTGCAAAAGATCCTACCAGATCAAACAGGATCACACTGGGTCAAACTGGATCACAATTAAAATCACAATGAATTACACTAGATCACACCAGATCAAACTGGGTCACACCAGATTGAACCATGCAGATCTGTAATACTATACCTCACGAGCAGCATCAATCTTGGCTTCCGTCTGTTCAGAGACTTGAAGCTGTTCACCAACTTCTTCCGAGGTCTTCTTGGATGACTGCAGGGTGTTAACCAGCTGCTCATCATCCAAGAGAGATCCTTGGGCCTCATTCAACAACCTGTGAATACAATCAGGGGTTCCATTTTTAGTATGGAGGTCAAGAGGCAACATTTGTTTTAGTTTGCCACCACTAAATTGTTCAAAATTCACTTAAATATCCATGCTTTTGAGTATTACAGTCAAACCTGTTTATAGCGACCGCCCAAGGGAAACACAACAGGTAGACAGGTGGTCTTTGTAGACAGGTTCCTTTAGTACATGTTTCAATGAGAAACCATTTTCAAGGGAAACAGCAAATGTGGCCTTTGTAGACAGGTGGTCACTAAAGTAGGTTTGACAGTAATAATAATATTAAGTTCTTGTATTAGAGGCGACACCTTTTTTTTTAATAGTTTTTTAATTCACTAAAATATGCATGCTATTGAGTATTACTACTATTACAAGTGCTACTGGTGTTGCTACTGCTTATGCTTGGATACACAACTACCAATAATTACTGTATTTTCTTACTTTTATCACAATTTCTACTATTTTCATATTAATAAATAAAGTTACAGTAACTTTTACTTAATGTACACTGTGTATATCCTTTTACTATCTTGACCAGCACAACTACCATTTTCACCACCATAACAACTACCACTACCACCACCCATTCCCTCCTACAGACTTTTTGGTATTTATTTTAACTGACTGCTAAGAAAGCATAAATGCTTGTTAGTAAGAAACAAGAGGATCAACGAATTTAAGGTCCTCTCTGAGGGACCTGGTAGTGAGGATAAATGCCTTACCAAAGGGCACTAGCGCATCGACTTGGTTTCGAACCCGGGTCACGGGATTACGATACCACTGCTCTACCGACTGAGCTATTGCCCTACCACATGTACTACTACTGCCTACCTGAGAATCTCATCCTCCAGCTCCACCAGTTTCTTCTTGCCGGCGGCGATGTTCATCACCAGGTTATCCTTCTGCTCCTCCAGCTCCGGCCGCTCCTTGCGCACCACGATGCCCAGGAGCTGGGCCTCCAGACCCTGCTCCTTGACGGCAAAGTTGACGATGCTGGTCTTGGTGGATATCTCCGGGGTGTAGTGGGGGTTGCCCAGCTTGGTGGTGATGTAGAACTTGAAGTCGGGGTTGTAGTCCAGCTCCTTGTCGCCCAGACGGATCATGAGCCTGCCACCTGCACGATACAGGCAAGGATGAACAATGAAATAGTAGTAAATATAGCAACAACAGATGTAGTTTTTTAAAAGCTTCTACCAAACTTGAATTTTGTGGGCAAGCTTTCGTCCACTCCTGTGGACTTTCTCAAGCGAAGTGATCAGTCACACATTTTCTTAGCGCTGTCTCTCTCGTTTCTTTGTCTCTCTTGTTTCTTTTTAATTTTAAATATATTACTTTATAATATCATTTCTCTGTGCATTTCAAAAGTGGTTGGAAAATGACATGTATTGCCCTGGATTTAGCTCTGGCAGCTGTAACCAGGACACAGTAATCTTTTGGAATAGATCTTGCCAGCTATTCACTTACTATATCTACAAGAGAGACATCTGTAGACAAAACGCCTTGTCAATTAAAGGCCAATTGCCAAATGAACAGAGCTACAGCAGTGGGAAGGATGGACAATGAATGAATTTATCTATGGATGCATGACTGTGTGGTCATTTTGTATGGTACGCTATAGTCGAGAACAATCAATGTGTACAGACAATTCACTATTTGAATGGGTAAAGAACTTCCTCAAAAGGAACCACTGATGATAAAATCAACATGAAGCTGTCTATCACAGAGCATTTATAAGGGTCCTAAGTTTGCAAGAGTTACATGTCAATGCAAGCACATCTCTTTCATTTTCATGTAATCTACCACGATTGTGTATCAAGTACAGTCAAACCTGCCTACAGCGACCACCTAAGGGAAACACAAAAAGTGGTCTTTGAAGACAGGTTGTCTTTGAAGACAGGTTCCTTTAGTACATTTTTCAATGAGAAACCATTTTCAAGGGAATCAAAAAATGTGGTCTTTGTAGACAGGTGGTCACTAAGGCAGGTTTGGCAGTATTTACCTTGCTTGATGATAGACTTGTTGAGGATAGGAGCCAGGGCAGGGTCCAACTCCTCCTGCACATTCTGCAGGAGAACTGGGAAACCGTACTGGATGGCATTCTCGAGGGTGCGCAGGAAATCGCTCTGCTGGAGATCGATAATCTTCAAGCCACGCTTGGTCTCCATGTTACGAATCCACTTGATGGCCTGACACTGAGGGTCAACCATGAGTGGCCATCTGGAAACATGGGAAGATCAACAAGTTATTATCAAAGCTTATACTAACATATAGAGTTTCAACATTTCAAAGCTACTGTACATCATAAAACTGAAAATATACCATCCCTTCAGTATTTCTTTGGACAATAACTATTGGGAACTTTATAACCAGAATCATCAACATCTTCAGATGTCATTATGATACTTCAGATGTCATTATGATAAAACAAATTTTCATATGCTATCACAACAACTGTGTTCTAAAGGTCACAAGAGAGTAATACTCATATCCAAGGTAAATATACCAAATGATTATCAAACTAAATAATGCTGAAAATCCACCATCATCGCCACCAACACCATCGTCACCATCATCATCACTACCACCACCATCATCATCTCCATCACCACCACCACCATCACCAACATTATCATCATCACCACCACCAGGACCATCACCACCACCACCACCATCATCATCACCACCACCCCCACCACCATCATCATCACCACCACCACCATCATCACCATCATCTTCCACCACCCACCTGTTGCCCCTGGTAACGATGACACCGTTCTCTGTGGAGAAGGCATCCGAGGGTAGACCCTGCATGTTCCAGTCTCTCACCACCGTCGGCTTCGACATGAAGAGGGAGAAGCTGAAGTCTGGGCTACGAGGAATACCAAGCTTGCTCACCTATATATAGACAGGAATGAAATACAGCAATTTCATTTACATATTGCTCTTTTAAACTTCACTCCAAAGTTGTTTTACATCGCTTATTAAAGATCATTTGAAAATTGTCCAGAGAATTCCTCCTCCCCCCAACAAACTTTAAAAAAACTACCCACAGAAAGGAAATTTCTCAAAACAAAGTGAGCACTTCCAGTTTTTTTTTCCACAAAACTTGTCATCAGTGACAAATGACAGTTGTTGTTATAAGATACTAAAATCTTTGCTTCTGATTGGTTATCAGCAGATTTGTCACTGATATTTGTCATTTGTCATTGAAAAAAAGCTTTGTGAAACAGGTCCCTGTTCTCTAGTAGGTCATGCTTCAAGGAATCTCATCAGCTGACCTGAAAATCTTTGATGGGTGCAAGAAATATGCATGCACTGAAAGTGCATTCCATTAATAAAGGTAGGTCATATTAGCCTTTAAAAAATGGTTGTTGTTGCTTTGTTTTTTTGGCATTTCATTCGGTACCAAATATGGAAGCCATCTGCGTATGGTTTAATTTCTGTACTCTACTAGAATTGCTTTCATTGTTTTTTTTTCTTCAAGTTTCAGTTGGTTGAGGAGTTCACAGGTACGGTATCAATGAGAATCCTTTCACTTGATATCTATAGGTGTTATTATCTTGACAGTCTAGCAGGCTTGGTGTGTCAAGCAGACATCAAGGTCTTGGAAAAGACCTGATCCATGGGAGGGATCAAGGCACTAGAACCAGACCTGCCAACCCCTAGAGTTCAGAAACTGTATTCTTTAGTCCCAAAAGTTGGATTTTACTGACAAATGCCTCAATTGACAATGACGATGCCTCTTACAGTTCCTACATATAGGACCAAATCTGTTTATGGATCATTGGTTGAATATGCATGATTTCGTCATGACTAGTGTGTTAAATGAACCAATGAACATCCCCAAATTGCCCATGTGAGACGCTCGTACGATACTTTATAGGACAGAATGAGCATTTTGTTATTAAAAATGGCACACGCACACACAAAATACTTTTTTGTTGTTAGAAAATCATATTTTATTGAGGAAAATTGTACTGTCATATATACTTCTAAAAATTGTATAAAATATGATTCAATCATACTGGTTGGCAGGTCTGTAGAACCTGTTAAAACTTCTCTTTCCTTCAGAAGGTTCATAGAATAATGCTACATATATCGACTATGTCCTTACCTCCTTCAGCCAGACTTCTTTGACTAGGTGATCTCTGTAGTGGGATAAGAAGGGTCCCATGTAGGACATGAAGGCTGCAGCCACCAGACAATCACCCACCAGGTATACCATGTTCTCTTCCAAGTCCTGCAGAGGCATGAGAGATCAAAGGGGCATATCATATCAACAACTGTTTGGTAATTGGTTGGACAAATAACTATGAACATTTTTTAGATCAAAAATATTAGTATAAAAATAAAACTCTGGATTTATATAACGCTTAAAGGCATCGTTTAACAATGTTAAATCTGAGATGCACGGCCCTACGTGTTATCAGTGTCTGTGATATGGTGTAATATTGAAGCCATAAAAAAAAATTGCCCTCCAAATAATCAAGTAGTGCCTCAAAAAAGTAAAAATCTTTGAGTGACCGGTTTGACCATACTCATTTTCCCCAACAGACTGTTTTGTTATAAAAAACGTTTCTATTTCCAATCATGAATATCTTGATAATCAGACAGGTGATCGGATTGTAAAAGTCATGGGATTCCTGACTGACCTAAAGGTTTATAATTATCATTGCAGCATCAGCTTAATCCAGGATTTTGTCTCAGAATCGGAGGCAATGTTACTGAGTCACCTTAAAGCTACACCAATAAACTTACATGAACATTGAGTTCCCATCTGTCCCTCTCTCCTGCGAGCCCAGACACAAGCTTGCCAGCACGGTCCAGCTTGATCTCCATCTGCTCCGCCTTGATCCTCAGGTCTTCCTTCTCGGCTAGCTTCTCATCGTACTGCTTCTTCAGGTTCTCCATGCGATCTGTGACCTGAAAGTATCATTCAAGAGGGTACGTGATCAAGGGGAAACTCTGTACTCGTCATTCAAAGGTGTGATCTTGAAATTCTCATTTAAAGATACTATGTAGGGCCTCCACGGAAAACAGTATTGAACTACTGATGGAGCCACCCTACTAAAAAAAGACTAATAAATAAATAAATAAATAAATAAATAAATAAAAATATGTCCGGCCTTTTGCAGCCAACATCAAATTCTGACTTTGCAGCAATTATGAATATGTCCTATCTGTGAAATTTAAACGTTAGCAGTGTCCTAGTGTCACATGAGTCACTCACTCATGTGACACCTACATGTAGTATTCAAATTAGGCAAGGAAACCCATTTACTTACTAGACTTCCCTGTCAGACACTATTGGGTGACTGACCAACATCTGTGCAATTTTGATAAAAGTATCCATGAAATGAAATACAAGACCCGGCACTTACTTCCTGTAGCTTTGCCTTGGCTTCAGCCAGGATGGCTTGCTTCTCTGCCAGGGTAGTCTGGGCATTGTTGAGTCTCTGCTTCTTGGGTTCCACCACCCTGAAGATGGTGCCGTACGTCTCCATGGCCCTCACCCACATGCAGAGCGACTTGGCGGCCAGGGACACGCGGCCGATGATCTCGGCCTGGAAGTCCGGCTGGGAGCAGTACTGGCCGATGCGCTTCAGCACCCTGTCTGACATGTTTTCCTTGTCGAACTCAATCAGCTCTTTGATGAAGTTCTGGTTACCTGATTGAAGAGGATGCAAGAGGATTAAGACAACTAACAACAACATATTATCATCCTTTATATTTCATTACAATTGATCATATTTGCCAGAGATATAGCTTGTGGTGTCATTTTTTAACGAGGGACAAATTGTCGTTGTTAAACTTGATCAGGTCTTTGATGAAGTTCTGGTTACCTGGTCGAAGAGGATGCAAGACAGGACAGATTTTGCTATCATTTTTAAAGACAACTAACAACAACATATTATCATCCTTCATATTTCATTACAATTTTATCATATTTGCCAGAGATGTAGCTTGTGGTGTCATTCTTAACGAGGGAATTCTTAATGAGGGCCCTGGCTTATAAAGAGTTGATATCAATCGCAACTGATATTCGATTGATATCTATTGCAACTATGTACATAAGAGTTAGGAGACTGCAAACATGCAATTGATTGGAGGACTTACGATTGATTTGGATCAATCATAACTCTTTATAAGATTGAAGAGGATTTCATACTATTCTGATCTGAAGGACACTGGTGAACTAATTTGTTTAAAGGCGAAGAGTGAATGAAGAGAAGTTCTTACCTAGCTGTCTCTTTGCCTCGGCCCACGTTGGCTCGTGACCCTTTAGGATCATGACTGCTTCCATGCACTTCTCCACCAGCACCGGGGGTCGACCGTAGGACTTGATCTCACCGATGTCCTTCTTGTTGAGAGCCTCCAGGGCCTTGACGGCTTCTGCCAGAGCGGGAAGGGCTTCGTCCAGGTCATGCTGTGCGGCTTCAGCCATCTGCTTACACCTCACCTCCTCCTCCCCAATCTTCTCACTGCGGGCTTGCACGGACTGTTGACAAACACGGACAAACGTATCCCTAATCGGTTAAAAGTCTTGGATTCGTGTATGTTTGTACGTGTCCTGAAGGACCTGGCTAATTTGAAAATGGTCACTGTTCATATTTTCCATAACGGATAAAAACATAAATACACCGGTCCACTTTCGGGAAAATATTGTAAGTATTCTTAATCGGTTAACAGTCTTGGATTTGTGTGTTCGTACATGTACTGGAAGGCCTGGCTAATTTGACAATGGTCCCTGTTCATATTTTCCATGACGGGCAAACATGAATATACAGGTCCACTTTTCGGGGAAATTAATACTCTAAGTTGTTATTGACAGTTGTAGATAGCTCAAGTATTGGTGAGGGTTACAGTCCACGGGTTCAAAATTCTTCATGTTTTGCCTGCATCATACATACATATAAACTGATGAAAGGCTTCAGTGCCTGCAGTCATACAGTTATATCTGTAAAGCACATTGAGAGGGCCTGCGGTCCTGAAATGCGCTATATAAGGACGAACTATTATTATTATTATACAACAGGGTAATCATTGAGTTGTTTTCATTTGTTTTTTTGCACGTAAAAACTAAGTTAAATGAAATCTCCTTAATGAGTTGGCCAATCATCTTTACAAGTGATCTACCATATGAACAAAGGCAGTAGTTGCCCACCTTATCAAGACTTTTTTTCCTGTAGGATTTTCATCCGGATCATGGACTTACCTTCTGCTGTTCGTCCGCCTCTCTCTTCTGCTGGACGATGACCACAAGGTATTCCTCACACTGCTTCTGGAACTGAGCCACCTTGATCTTGGCTTCCTCCAGCTCTACAGACATCACCTCCACCTTGGCCCTGGTGTCGTCGATCTTGGACAGACCATTCTTGAGCTTGTTGGCCGCGTCGCCAAGCTCCTTGCGCTTCTCGTACAGCAACCTGGTAGTTTTTTTGATCGGTACAATAAAGAATTATTCACAGAATCGAATATCGATGCCTCTGGAAATATAGACGAAAAAGAATTTAATAGCATGTAAGATTGCTCATCATTTATTTAACTGCAATTTGAATACATGCAGAAACTTGTTGACTGCTTCCCTTCCTGTTAACGGTGTTGTTTCTTGCCCTTTATCAGGTGAGGGGGGAAAAATCTGTGAAATCCTAATGAATTGATTCATAAACCATCAATAGTACAAATTTGAAATGTATAATACACCTGACGTTGGCCAATTTGTACTTGTACTCACAACAGTTTCATGTAAAAATACCCTTATCTTTAAACACAGGTTTCCTGTCCTTAAAAAAAAAACAGTTTGATTCAAAGTGCTCTAAAATTTAAGCTTTACACTTAAGGTCATGCATTTTTCAATACTTGACAAAAAAAATCAAACCAACGTGAATTTCTTGCAGAATGCTGCGGATACTGGGGATAAAAAGAAATTACTCACGTTTTGTATCCTGTAACAAGCTCCAGATAGTTGGTGGGTGTGACGTAGTTGTGACGCTTCAGCTCAAACAGCATCTGATTGGAGCTCTGGACCACCGATTGGTGCATGGTACAGAATATCTGGGCAATGTTGGGCTTCAACTGAAAGACCAAGAACAGAAAATTGCTTTTTGATAACACTCGTTTACAACCATATGGGCAGACTGACTTCACCTGCTTCTAATTTAAGTAATGCTCTATGGACTGATGCATCCCTCCTGGGCAAAGTAGTGCAGTGGGGCTTTACGACTTCTTGGTAGAGGTTTTACAAGGTGAAATTGATGGTCACCATGGTCATAGCATAATGTCCAGATTGGTACATTGTACAGAATATATGGGCAATGTTGGGCTTCAACTGAAAGACCAAGAACAGAAAATGAGACCCTCATATGGGCAGACTGACTTCACTAGCTTCCAATTTAAGTAATGCTCTATAGATTGCTGCATCGTGCAGAAATCTTAACCCTAAACCTAACCCTACGTGAGGCTAACAAATGAATGAATAAAATAAATTATGAAGGTTACCCGTTATGAGTCTTTTGATACTTTAAATGGCAGCTCTTGCATAGGTAGACTGCAATATATCACAATTATCTGTATTATAATTGTTTTAGTTTGTAATGTCTTGCATTTTGTTATATTGTGATTTTTTTTTTTTAAATCTTTAAAAAATCTATTGTGAATTTTAATCTTATGTATTTTCCACATTTCTCACTTATATGGGTCCACCCACTTCCCTCAAGCCATCGGCTAAGTCGGGTGCTAATGATCCAGTACACTTCTCAATGTATATATATTGTATGTGATTTTTTAATGAATTAAAAAATTGACTTCAATTGAATCAACCATTATTACTATATCAATCTGAAAGAGGGCGACCATTTGTGAAATAAAACAACAGTCCTGATAATCAACCCTAGTACTGGTAATCTTTTTTAATGTTTGATATATAGAATGTCATTCGTTAAGAGCAAGAAGGACTAAAATATTGTCTGTTGACAACTAAACAAGCGTTAACTCATATACTTTTACAAAGAGTGAACACCCTTCTGGCTCTAAGAAGACCCTGTACGTCCTCACCTGTTCGTTTTCTCCAACGTTTATAGACTCCAGGTACTTCTCGGCTACCTCCGTCAACGCTTCCTTCGGCCATTCGCAGAACCAATCAATGGTGGTGCAATTGACAAAGGCTGGGTACATACGGATGCGATTCCTTTAAGAGAAAAGATATCAAAAGAGATTAACAAAGCATATAAGTGGATGTTTGTTTTACTCTATAGTAGACTTTAGTTCTTGCTAAATCTGCATTTTCAAAGTTAGGCAAAATTCTGACAAATCGGACAATGGGAATGAGGACCAGAATAAGTGTACAGAGAATTGTAAGAAGGAGGAGTAGGGGAAGAGGAAGGATACTTTGGATGGACAGTCTGCAGAAATTGTTAGAAGAGAGAGGAGTGAAAGAACTGGGAATGGTGCTAATAAAGAAAGCTAGGAGCAGAGGGTTGTGGTACAGCATGATTGCCAAAGTCATTCGATATGGCACTTAGAGAGAGAGAGGGAGAGAGACTTTGTTATGTTTGTTTGTGTGGTTGCCAACATCCATGGAGATCAGTCATATGGGACGGTTGGTTGAAAGTTGTGTGCTGTCATCAGGTTCTTAGTCTTCAAAATCATGAAGAGCCTGGTGAATGTTGTCTTTCAAGAAGATCTGGTCAATGGACAGAATTTCACGTTTACAGGAGTTAATGCATGACTCAGCTCTTAATTGGTGCAGGTGACAGTTGGTACGACAAACCTTTGAACAGAGTCCCTTCAGATTAATATCAGGCTTGACTTCTAACTATGGGTATTCAGGTCAAGACGCATGAAATGGAAAGATCAGATTTTAACTTGTATCTTAGCAAGAAAGGGGGTCAAAATGATATATAACTGAGCAAGACATTGAAAGAATAATCTTTATAAAAGCAGATCGACGGACAAACAGGCAACAATTTCAAGAACGTGAAAAATTACGAGCAAATCGTTCACGAACCTGAATGGGTCACCCACGGGACTCATGCAGAGAACCACGTGCAGGTTGGTGCGCACCCTCTCGATGAAGTACGCAAACATGCTCTCGGGCGTGTCCTGGATGCCGTCCTTCTTGGCCGCCTCCGCCAGCTCGGTGCGCACCTCCTCAAACTCGTCGGCCTTGTAGAGGTTGGGCACCTCTCCGCTGGACAGGATGTTGTTGATGTCCTCCAGGAAGGTCTCGTCGACCACCTGGGTGTCGTTGAAGAGGAAGATGGTGGGCTTGTTCTCCACCCCGGCCGTCCTGTACAGACGCTTTAGATCTGCAGGAAAAAAATATTTAAAAAGATCAGCAGGGATTCAGCAACTTCTTCACAAAGAACAGTTTTATGACCAACAGCCCTTACTAAATGGTCTGCAATTACTACCAATCACCCAACATGGAAAAGTCATCATCTTACAATTCCCTCTCCCGAAGACTCCCCCCAAAAAACTATATAAGGGGTGTTTTTTTATGGGACTACAGGTTTGCTTTTTGCAGACCTGCCCAAGTCTGGTGTCTGCAAATTAAGACCTACTGCACATGAAAATTGATGACCCACCCCCTTTAAAGCAGGACTGCACTACTTGTAGCTACTTGCGCCCTCTATACAGCCAACAATGCCAAAGCAGTACCCGGTGATCCTCCAAGGTCCCCTTTTTCTTATGTTAATTTAGAGCTGATTTGATGAGATAACCAACTGTCAGTTACCATGGTGGGACGTCTAATCCCTCCTGGCCAAACTAGTACAGAGGGGCTTTAAAGGTCATACTGGTTCAGCATCTATTCACTCACTCACCGTCTCTGAACTCTATGATGCGATAATGTCTGGTCACCTCAATCTGGAAGGTGGTGAAGTCGCAGACGGCCGCAGCCAATCGGGTGAGAGACTGACGACCACTCCCACCAATACCAACCAATAGCATGTTGCCTCTGGGCTGACCAATCACACGGATGATTCGGGAAACTGGATACGGAAAGGAAGGCAAATGAGTCAGAGAATTAGAAAAAGTGAACTAAACGTAATTACAGTACAAGAGTAACATAATAGAACCGTGCTCTCAGGACTGCCTAGATTCCATCCTTCTTGGCCAGTGATGAAAGCTTGTGACACACCTCCTCAATACACAATCCATTTATTAATTTTTTTAAATAATTATTTTATTTGGGATATAATGACATCGAAAGTAGCCAAAAATTTAAGAAGTACGTAACTTTTAAGTTAGAGTTGCTTAATTTTGCTTTGCCCATTCAATAAAAATTGATACCTTAGACAGATGTGTATTGAAAACCATCTTGGTAACATGTTACAATATTTTTTTTCTTCAAAGACTGCAATAAGTAAATTGTCATTCAAAAGATCTTTAAAGACTACAAGACCTAGCGATGCCTACTTCTTGCTGAGCAATGCTGCCTTGAATATCTAGAGGTGACAACACGAGCTAGAGGCCTTGCTCAACACTATTGCCAATTTGTATGTAATTTTAAATTGTTGGCAAGATCCCCCTTTCTCTCTTCCCCCTTCTTTACCTCGTCTCTCTCTCTCTCTCTCTCTCTCTTTTTCTCTCTTTTTCCATCTCTCTATCTTTCCTGCTCTTTCTCTTTCTTCACTATATCTCTCGGTCTCTTATTCTCTCTTCCTCACTTTCATATTTTATCAAGGTACATATTCCCCATTTCCTTCTTGTTTATATTTTTCCTTTTATTCTACATATGGTACAAAAGTAAGGATAAACATGTGATATATATGTGTACTTACAATTAGGTAAATGATACTGTTTTAATTGTACACTTGTGTTTAAAGTGCAATGTATATCCATGTGCAATTCAGTATATGTAACTGCAATGCATGATTCAATAAATACCATACCATACCATATATGGACCCAAATGCAGAAGAAACGGGGGCTGTACTCACCGTGCTCTATAGCATCCCTGAACAGCACCAGATCCATCGAGACGACGCCTGGTGTGGCATTGTAGTCGTCCAGAGCATCCTCCATAAATCTTTTGACAGTAGGGAACTCCTGAAGATCTTCGTAGATGGGTATCTCCAAATTGGACATGTATTCACCTGGAGGCAACAAAGATTTAAGAAAGTGAGAATCTTATGGGGGTCTGGTAAACAGGAGCCGTATTCAATTCAGTGTGTGGATTAAAGCCCCACTGTACTACTTGTAGCTACTTGCTCCCTCTATACAGAAAACTTCCCCAATCGGCGCCTGTTGGTCCCCCATGATGCTCTTTTTCTTTTGTTAATTGAGAGCTAAGTTGATGAGATAGCCACCTGTCAGTGACCTCCCTGGGTGGTACAGATGGCCTTTAAGTCAGCATTCTGCATAGCATTTTACTTAGCTAAGTAAAATGTCTTAACTCATATTCAGATTAGAGTGTTTTATTTTAGTAAGCCGAATTTAAGTTAAAAACTTACTTATAATCAATGTGACCTCGCATTGTTGATCCAAAGTAATGTGCAATTTACACATCGCATTAAATATATTATTATTGTCTTTATATACAGCTTATGTGCAGCTTACGATGACTGAGTATCAAAATCGTATGCCTGCCAATCAAGGCCTCCAACACCTAATAGGGAGCTGTCTTCAATTAAGGGTAAAACACATAGCAAAAAGCTCTAACTGAATTCTAAAGTTGGAGTGAGAAAGAAAGGAGAGGGAGAGAGATGGAGAGAATTCTTACCGAATATTGGAGGCTGCTTGTTGGGGCAGATGTTATGGAAGGTCTGATCAAAGAGCGTTCCCAGCTTCTCGCTGATGATGTTAACAAAACCCTCAATGTCCTGGTCGTTCACAAGACGATCGGAGTATACCCTGTAATATGCGACAAATGAAGAGAAGGTGTTGAGTTAAAGGATCAATGCTGTCATTAAAGGGCACGTCCGGCCAATTTGCATATTGAGTTGAATAAATAGAGGAACGTTAAATGAACATAACAGTGAAAGTATATAAAAATTGGATGAAAAAATTAGACAGTTATGGAATTTTAAAGTTTCGCACAATTTCATGAAACAGTGATGTGTATCATATGCAAATACGTGAGTTGATGATGTCACACCCTCACTCTTCTTTATCCGTTTTGTACATATACTAAATGAAAATTTCACTTTTCTGCTCTTTGAATGTAAAACATGGTTTGACCTCAGCCTCAGAAGACAGAGACACAAGCTCAAGACAGAAAAACAAACTACAGCAATAAAAAACAAACGATCAAACAAACAGACAAACCTGAAGCACTCATGGATCCAGAGCCTGGTGATAGACCCCTTGGTGTCATGGAAGTCCTTGTGAGACCTCAGCATGCCTTGGAACACCTTGGAGATGTCCCTCAGGTTAAACAGGTAATGGATCTTGGCAGGGGTTGGCAGGAACCTCTGGACGACGCTCTGGTAGACCTCTAGAGTGGCCTGGGTGATCACGTCTCCGATGGGCTTCACGTCCTCCTCAAAGTCCTGCAGCTTCTGGTTGATCATGGTCCCGAAGATACGCTTGATTTGGGAGTCCTAAGCATCAAACAGAATGATTCACATTTTTAGTGACTAATTTATTTGATAGACCCAAGAGTTGGCTCAGTCGGTAAAGCATCTGCCTGTCGAATGACTGAAGCCTGAGATGTGTGTTAAGGTGCCCCTCCCCTTGTTTCATAGATGCAGGCTATGTTAAGTGGAAAACACTCTGTCCCTCGGATAGGACGTTAAATGGAGGCCCTGTGATCAGGAGAGTCACCACCCTTGCACGTTAAGAACCCACTGCACTGATCATATAGGAGTAGGAGGAAACCCCTGTGTAGTGGTCCACCTGCACACCTTAACCAGGCCGAATATATACGGCATCTGTAAGAATCTTCAGTATTGAAGGAGGCAGATTATCTTGAAGAAGAAGAAGAAGAAGAAGAAATGATTATTTTACCTGACAGCTAAGAAAGCATTTACATGCTTGTAAATACTAAAATACTAAAGAGGAGTGTTGTACTCACGCTGGGGAATGTCATGTTGATAAGGTTGAACCTGCTTTGGAGTCTCTTGGAGATCACCATACGACCTCCGCCTGGTGGACCCATAGATGCAAGCAGTTGCATGCCCTGTGGATTAGGATGGTAGAAATACAATATAAATTGTGTTTCATCATTCATATATTCTTATATGATTGCAGGGCCCTCATGGGTAAAATTACAGTGCCTTGAGCACCTTGCATGGTGAATATGTTGGCTATAAAAATACCTAATATTATTTTTATTATTAAATTCAAACATGGTCAATGGTTCCAGGTTGAAAAAAATGTCTAAATATAATATAACAAAAACAATTAAGAAAATCAAAAGGGTGCACTGTTGAAGAAAATTCTTCTCAAAATGTTGAAATACATGTAGACTACCATCAGGGATGCCAGTTATAATTGATCAGAGGGCCTGAAAATCACCTAGAATGAGCTATTTTGTACACAAAAAAGCCTAAACTATGGTCTGAAAATAACTCACCAGGGCCTGAATTTGTGATATTGCCTGAAAACTGAGATCCCTGTACCACAAATGTTCTACCATTTTGGGGATTGGGACCTTACCTTGATAAACTTGGTGGTCTGCTTGACTCTGTCGTACCAGAAGCCATAGTCCACCCAGAGTTTGATGAGCTCCAGGGGAGGCTGAGAGCCGAAGGTGTCCTTGGCAGGCATGTTGAAGTCATCCAGGAAGGTCACCAGCTTCTTGCCACCGATGGGCACGTACACACCTAGATAGACACACAGGAAGAGGAGATCTCATCAATGTCTTGAGAATTAAAGGCCGTGTAGCTTGGCAAATACTAGTTAACGCCATCTAGGTCTTCTTTTGGGCAACTGCACGTAAATGAAAGGACTTTATTAACGGTAGTCAGCGACTATATCTCTACATAGTCAGCGTTCGCGAAACAGACTGAAGTTCTCCTCACGCTTCAGTTTTGCGTATTGTGCAGGCATGTGATTGCGATCATGCTGCAGTCGCGTCGCCCGTAGTCGTATTATACTCGATTGGCCCCGAACCAGGCCAGGGAAAGACACTTAGTTTTGCCATGCTGCACTCTCTTTAAACGAGCTATGAAAACATCCCATTCCTTAATCGGATATTGCTCAAACTTTAACTAAAATGTTTTCCTATTTTTCTGATTCTATTAAAACCAACTTAATATAAGCCCCTCTGCACTAGTTTGGCCAGGAGGGATTAGACCTCCCTGTAAGGTCACCGGCAGGTGGTTATCTTACCAAAGCAGCTCTCTAATGGCACGATGCTCGTACGTAATGTAAACACAAACATTGCAGCATGTAGCCTCCTACGATGCCCCAAAAATTGTAGACCAATTTATCGTACAGCGCCCGGAGCAAATGTAATCTGGGCATAAGGCTTTAACTTGGATTTCAAAATTGGATGTCAATAAGGAAAAGTAGGGTGTCTAAAAATACCATCCACTATTGAGTGCATGTAAATCAGATTTTCTTTTGGAATCACTAGACTTCTTCTACTGCTTTGATGTTTTGATGTAAACTTGTATTCATTTTTATGTATCTTTTCCCATTTGCTAGGTTTTCTTTATATGTATATATATATACATTGTATATATATATATATATGTTTTTTAATGCTTTTTTTATATGATTGTATGTTTGATGTAGACTTGCATTTTTAGTCTTTGGACTTTTTGACAAGTCTTGAATAAAACCTCATTTGAATTGAATTGAATTGAAAAAAAAAGAAATGGATGTCTATTGGACACCCTGAAACTCTTCTGGAAAAGCTCGATAGCACCCACCTTTGGTCCTCTTCTCCACCCTGCTCTCAATGATATCCTGGACGTTGTTGGACGTGGTCTGGGAGGACATGTTGATGGTCAGCACGCTGTAGGACTGAGGGTCAAGCTTCGAGCACACGCTCTGGGCAACCGAGGTCTTGCCAGTACCGACTGGACCTACGAGAAGGACCGGGTTCTTTCGTGTGACCAAGGCCTGGATGATGAAGTTGTAACGGACAGTGTCGACGGTGGGGACCATAATCTTGTAGAAGGGCGAGCTGCCGGGAGAATGGAAAGAGGGGTAAGGGATAGATGCCATAATTTATCATTCTTAAATTCTACCGAATGACCCTTCCTTTGGCTGAAGAAAGAATGCTTATATTTCTCACATCAGTAAGCAACATTATATTAAAGCCCCACTGCACTACTTATAGCTTCTTGCGCCCTCTATATAGCAACCAATGCCTAATCGGTGCCTGTAGGTCCCCCATGATCCTCTTTTTCTTATGTTAATTGAGAGCTGATTTGATGAGATAACCACCTTTCTGGTGACCTTGCAGGGTGGTCTAATCCCTCATATAAACTAATACAGATGGCCTTTAAGATCAAGAGGGTAAAAATTGAATATGGACGAGTTATAATTTAGATCAAGTGAATCATACAGAACTGTGTGAGCTTCTTCCCTTACAATTATTCTGCTTATATAATAGACAAAGTTCTACACACATCCATAAAAGACTGCATCTATCATTCATTGCTGGTACCATGCAGCTAGATAAATTAACAAAAAGAACTCATATATTACATATGTCTTGACCCATTCAACATTTGCTAATGGTGTCCAAACACATGTGCAATCACACTTTATGAATTTTAATTAATAAATTGATATCCTGAAACCATAACTGATAACTTCTTTGCAGTCTTACCAGGGTAAGGTAAGCTGTCACCATGTCCCTAAGGACCTTGGCTTCACAAACATATTTTATCAAACAATTTTTTCCTATCTTGTGCAATTCTATATGCCTTCTGGAAGGTACTGCCTACTAGGATGTCACTTTCCCATCTCTTCCTTCGTATTCCTTGCCTATTTGTTCCCAAAACAGTCTCCGCGAGTAAGGGTTTAGCGAAGCGTACGTTGTGTATTTCGTTAACGTGACGTGTATTACCAAGGTATACAGCTAGAAATCCAGAAAATCAACTCACGTGTTTGGATATCTCCAGCCACTCCTGAGCTTGTCCTCCCAATGAGACCAGCTCTTTCCCTTAGGGTCCACGTAGTACTCATAAACCGTATCCTTGTTGGGGAAGGTGCCTTCAATCTCACGGATGTAGTTGTCAAGCTTCTTGCGGCCGTCCTCGTCGACGGTGCAGCCAACAGACCAGATAAGACAGAACAGGAACCAGAGCTCTATCATACGCTCGTAGTTGTCCTTGTCAGCTGGGTTGACCTGAAGAGTCAAAGTTCAAAGGGTATAGGTTAATAATTTGAAAAAGTTTACCAATGTGGGTTGTGGGTTTGATCCCTGACACGGCACTAATGTCTTTAAGCAAGGCATTACTCTACGTTTGCCACTCCATACCCAGGAGAGAAATGGGGACCTGATAAGATGACAAAAGCCTTTGTGTTCGTAATTACCAAAGGTCATCACGATGACCATATGGTAGGACTACTTCCCAGGGAGTAAAGATGGTGCACATTGTGCGTGCATGAACCCGATGACTGGTGCAATAATATCTGTAAAGCGCTAAGAAACATTATTTTGTATTGAGCGCTACATACATGTAAATCCAGATTATTACATCATTATTATAATTATTATTTTTTACTAGCTTACCCCGTTCTCTTCAGTAGCCAAAGCCGAGTAGAGGTTGCAGAAGGAAGCTACTCCGTTAAGCTCTGAGATGGTGACCAGCTCCTTGCAGTTGTGACGTTTGAAGTCCTGTATCTTCATCAGGTACTTGTCGATCAGGTGCTGAATGATGTCTTGTTGTTGCTATTGAAGAGGAATGGTAGCAAACGTATGTGGATTAACACAATAACATTACATTTTAACAGTGGCTGACAGAATGATGAAGGATTTGATCAGTGTACTTTTACAAATTTTTTTCTTCAACATCCAATGACAAATGCTGATGCTAAATAAAAGATTTGCAACCCTTGTAACACAGTACCTAGACATGTTTTATATCATTAATTTTACACTTTGAAGCAAATTAAACAAAAAAAACAGATCTTAATCAAAGATCCCATTTATGCAGATAAAGATTTCATTTTTACAGCATTAATTGATATTCTTTCACTTATTTTACATCAAAGACTAGTAGAGTCGAACCCGCTTTAGTGATCACTTGTCTACAAAGACCACATTTTTTGTTTCCCTTGAAAATGGTTTCTCGTTGAAACATGTACTAAAGGAACCTGTCTACAAAGACAACTTTTCGTGTCTCCCTTCGACGGTCGCTATAAACAGGTTTGAAAGTATTATGAAGCATAGCCAAACAACTATCCCATAAGGAAAACTACCCTCTCCCTCTAAATTGATACCTTGTAAACAATATCTGTTATATTCTACATATCGTGTCTCCCTTCGACGGTCGCTATAAACAGGTTTGAAAGTATTATGAAGCATAGCCAAACAACTATCCCATAAGGAAAACTACCCTCTCCCTCTAAATTGATACCTTGTAAACAATATCTGTTATATTCTACATACTAAGAATCTTGCTCTACGATTGGTCAAAAGTAAATCACGTGATGAAAGATAGTTCGCCCATTATTGATGGGAGAAGCAAAAAGTTCATTTCATTTCACTGAAGATAGAGGTACTATCTACACAGAGCAATGCACTTTCACTGAAGATTATCCAAAAGCGCACTAAAACAGCCGTAATTAAGCGCGCATTACCAATGAGCGCAATTAAATAAAACACATACGCGCACCGTACCTTCAAGTGGTTGGGTTAAACTTAAAATTTTTTGTTGTGAATTTGGGCCTAGGTGTCTTTTATGTAGATGCATACACGTCCTTTTCTTTTTGTAGTTAAATTGTTTTAGATGTGGAATATAAAGCAAATAACCACCTTTTGGTTTCAGGCGATTGCAAACTATCACTTCCTCGTCGATCAGAATGTATACGCTATCTTTCCTCAGCTTCGCTTCGGAAAGATAGCTACACCCAGATCGCCTCGGAAGTGATAGTTTGTCCCATCACCTTCACCAACGGTAATTATTTGCTTACTATCTAATAACATATATGTGATTTGTAAGGTGCCAAATCCACCTGAAATAAATGCTCAAGGCACACCATCTATGATCTTGTCTATGGGGGAACGATGGTCGTTCAAAAGAGAAAACAAAAGGAGTACGAAAATCAGCTGAAGATTTGAGATCAAGTTTCATACCTTGTCCTTGATCTTAGAGAGCCATGAGGTCACGTAAGATTGATAGCCGAGGTCAGCGTAGTCGGTGTACACCATACCGCAACGGCTTACAGTAGCAGGAGACGCTACCGCTAAATCTTCAGTCTCAAACAGCAGGGTCACCTGATACACAAACAGAATCACAATATTACATAACTATGAAACTGGTGGAAAATTTAAACACAATTTCTACTTCTCCTTTGAATAGCTCATATTGTGTTCCAATTAAATCTGTAAAATCAGCTTTTCAATCATTTTATACACTCTACATATACTCTGCATATGACGATAGCGTCACTTTGATACAAGAGTTAATTTGGCCTTTCCTCCGCCTAAGGGCTCCCCATGCATCCTTCATTTGATTTTTTACTATTAATACAACCATTCAAGTTTATTAGAATTTTACATGTTTAAATGTCCATATGAAATTCTATTGTATTTTGTTCCAAATTAGGACTACATTTGGACCATCTCCTGTGCAGTGGGCTTTGCAATACATCTGTCATTTCACTCTGCTGGCAGAGAAAGTCGCACTGCTTGAAGACCCTATCCAATGAAAATACAACTTTATATCAATAGAAAGCTGAGTGGATGTAGAATACAAACATAAAGGAATTAAAAATATTTTCCCTTTCAGTATTGCACAAAATCAGATTAAAACCTCATTTTCGTCCCCCTCCCAAATTAAGGGTCAACAGGGATCAGAATCACCATAGTTACGGTGACGACAAAACATGTAGAACAATCAGCTTGCCTGCAAAGCTGAGGCGATGAGCCGTGCTTCTTAATTAATGCAAAGTCATTATATATGCACACTCCACATGAGATGATACCATCAAGTCGATAGCTCGTGTTTAGCTCGACAAATTGCGATTTTCAAAGCTTTAGATTTCGAGTTGTCAGAGAGCTGTTAATCATCTGACAGATACGATAAACCTAGATCCTTACGGTACTCCAAACACTTCACTGTAACAGAAATACTATACATATTATAAATATTCCCTTTGGAATGGATGTTTTTCCACCTACCTGGTCAGGCATAGCAATACGTTCACCGTTGATGAGAGTCAAGACCTTGTTGTCGTCCATAACAGAGTTCATGCTTTCAATCCACAGGGTGTCGACGGGAGCATCAAAGAGTAGCCATTTCTCATCGGGCTTCTCATCTGGGTGAGTCAGGGAAAGTCAAAGAAAGAGAAGGGACTAGTTAATAAAGCATGTATGACTGATTAGGATTGTTTAAAAGAAAAATAGTACCCTTTGGTAAAACCCCAATTGTTAACATTTTCAGTATCCCTTTATTTACATTGCACAAAAAATGTTTAAACAAATTTATCTTCATAATCATCATCATTGCTATCGCCGTCATGGTCATAATCATCATCACCACCATGATCTTCCTCATTGTAATCATCATAATCATCATCATCATCATCATTATCATCCATCATCATTACCATAATTTTTAGCAAATGTCAATATTTTAAACACAATTATTTTGTTAATACTGTCATGGTTGTTTTCATCATCAACATCATTGTTACTTTATCATCACACGATCATCATCTGCAACATTACAGCCAAATTCATAATCATCATCATCATCATCATCATCATCATTTCCCACACCACCATCACCATCCCCATGATAATAATAATAATCATATCAGTCACATATGTATTCTACCTAATACTACACCTCTAAGTGCTTTACATAGTAATTATCATTACCCCGGTCATTTGATTTAATTGCTTACGCAATGTTAGTGCACACGCTCCGCTTCCTGGGGAGGGTTCCGGCCAGGTGCCATTTTACAAGTGCTCACATATGCCAATCCAATATTCTAGACACTTACCAGCACAAGTTTGTCTCATAACGTTAGACAGGACCCCGTCCGTCCATTCATTTGTGTTGAGATCAAACTCTCCGTACAACTCTCCTAGAGACAGCGCTTTAGGGTTGATGGGAAACTCCTACAAACAAAAACAAAAGGAGTCGATGGTCAGTCATTGGATTTTTTTTAAATCTAGCAAACACTTCCACTGAGTGTTCAACACTACAAATATTATCCTTTATCAGTGAAAAAAAATAAAACAGCAAAGTAATGAGTAAAGAAAGATAACCAGAACGTCAATGACATAGCGCTCATCCGCATCTCGCAACAACAAATATCGTAAATTTTATGTGGTACACTTTTGAACTGGTCAAAAATTTAAAATTTGATACCCTGGAAGGGACATAATTTTATTTAGCTGTACAAGATTAGATAGAAACTAAAGGAACAAAACTTTAAAAATGAAATGAAGGAGAAGAAGCATTTTTTGTTATTTTTGGAATAAATTTGAATAAATTACCATAATTAATCAATGGAGCAAAATCTCAAAATTCTGTGTAGATTTTTAGTAAACGAAATTTAGCTCTACCAGATAAAGCAAACCAAATCAAAATCGGTCAAAAATATGAAGGAGAAGCATTTTTTGTGATTTTTAAATTACTTTTGGAATAAATTTGCATAAAATACCATAATTAATCAATTGAGCAAAATCTCAAAATTCTGTGTAGAAGTTTAGTGTACCAAAGTTAGCTCTTCCAGATAAAGCAAACCAAATCAAAATCAGTCGAGAAATGAAGGAGAAGAATAATTTTTTGTGATTTTGAATAAATTTGCATAAATTAGCATAGATAATGAATTTCACGATTCTGTGGAGAAGTTTTAAATCCCCCTCCTAGCCCCATCATAAGAAACAATCAGAATCAAAATCGGTTGAAAAATAACGAAGAAGCATTTTGAAAACTGGACGGACGGACGGACGGACTCCACGCCATGGCATAAGCTCATCGGGCCCTTTGAGATGGATGAGCTAAAAATGTGAAGGTTGTAATCTAGACTCTATGTTAAAACTACCAGAATCCATCGTATATGAGAAATTAAATTGTTCCTAGTCTATATTTCATAAAATAAAAACACCTGGTTGAGCATCGTTTCAAAAGAAAACTTGATAAAGAATCAGGTTCCAGCTATAGTCTAGCTGAACGCCATATCAAACAAAAATCGTATAACTGTGTGGGCCTTGTGAGTGCGCACTGTTGATTAGTCAGCTGTCATGTCCATTGACATCTTCACATTTAGTTTTCCTCATTTCTTTAAACAATGTTTTTTTTCTAGTCTTAACGCTCCTTTCGCTATACAATGATTCTTTGAACGTTTTCTTTATACTAGTTTCGTATAACTTTTCTGTAGTCTGAATATGCTATAATATGTAGTTTTGATGCGCAAGTGATGGTTACTTATTATGCAGGCATACAAAGCAAGCTTTTGTGAGTTTGTTTATATTTTGCTGATTAAAATACCCTATCTACTCCATGAAAAACTATCAATAATCAATTTAGAACCTATATTTATTGACATGCTATTCTTTTACCGGAGTGTTATTCTGAAAATCATGTTATATTTTACGTTAGCAAAATGGTGTTCATTGTCTAAACAAATCAAAATTAGGACAATTAAGACATTGGTTAATGTCCGGACTTAGCTGGCTGTGTTTGCACTTAGTCAAAAGAGACATCTGTGCAAGCACATGTTGTAAGTGTAAGTTCTGTGCAATTTGGATGTGTTATCTCTATTAACCTCATTTTCCCTAACATCAAAGATAACATCGTTTTCAGAATACAGCTCCAGCAGCTCAAAGTTAGCTTAAAGGCATTGTTTAACAATGATCCAGTTTTTCAAATCTGAGATGCGGCCCTACGTGTCTGTGATATGGTGTAATATTAAAGTGCTTCAAAAAATTAAAAATAGACTGTAGTGTTCTAAAAACTGTGGGGAAAACAGTTTTTGAAATTTTGCGATTGGCTTGTAAATGTCATGGCAATTCCTGACTGACCTAGAGGTTTAAAACTATAACAGCAGCATCAGCTAAATCCAGGATTTATTTGAGAATCTGAGGCAAAGATACCCAATCCCTTTCATGAATTCCGTACCTTGACAAGATTGTAGGTGTCATCGCCTTCTTTCTTCAGCCTGGACAGCGTCGACTGGAGGATACGCCACGACGTCGTCTTCCCGCTGTTGGTCTTACCGACGATCATGACAGAGTGACGGGAGTTCTTGGTCTCGTAAAGCTGTATGACCTTGAGGACGGATGATGGGAGGGGCTGAAGGCCAGCGTTGACCAGCTCTGACTCGATCACCACTTTCATCTGGTATTGAGAAAGAAAAAGATAATTATAACGAGAAAGAAGATGAGTTGATAAAGTGCATAACTAATAGACGGTGCAATCTCTCTTTGCGATTAACAATACAACTAAAACAAAGGCACCTACTTTACAAAGTGCTATTATTACTCTGCTGCTCTAAGGTGCTCAACGCATTCAAGAAATAAATTCCTTTCACGTTCTACACCTGGGTGGTAAATGTGGATTGATGTCTAGATCTTGCCCTAATCTCTACATATTCCTTCATCATTCATGAAATGGAGTACACATAACAAAACCACCTACACGCCAGTAGCCCAAGTTCCCAAATGACATTAAATCTATACCGTGGTCTAAACCGTAGTTTAAACATCCACGATGGACTGAATTAGCATATATAAGCATGTAATCGTTAGAGTCTTATTGGCCACTGGACATGAGAACACGCGCATACTACGCTTGTGGAGGTTTAGACCATCGATTCAGATAAACCTCCTTTGAATTTGGGCCAACGAGTTCTCTTTTCACGTCTTGGTTTAATCTGAACGTACCTTTCCGTATTCGATCACCGGAGCATCGATGCCAGGGAAGAGATCAGAAACAATACCGTTGAAGAGAGGCAGATCATTCGTGGTCATCTTGGGAGTGTTCATGTCTTTCATGGCCAACAAAAGCACCTAGAAAAACAAAAGAAGTGAGTGAGTGTTTACAGATATTTCATATATGAAAAGTCAAATCTACCTTTTTGCAGTATTTTATAGTTTACCACTTATATGGGATACTATACCTAAATATTTTTTTACTTGCTCAACTACATCCGCTTTTAAAAAAAAACTTAAAGATCATCTCATACTTGAATATGAATGATTTATATCAGTCGCAATAATCTGATTATTTTATCTACATATTTCTGATACTGTACTTGTTTTTTCTGTTGTGTTTGTTATATGTTTAAAGTAAAACTGAAAATATTTCTGCAAACTATTAACATTTTTCTTTGTGGGAATTTACCCCACAAGGCCTCTCAGGCTTTATTCTAATTCTCTCTTTTCATTTTCCAATTTAATTTGTACTTGTGTATTTGCATCAAAATTGTTCATATTTATAGATGCATATTTTTCTGTTTTTTATCGAGAATGAAATAAAATAAATGAAAGATGAAAGAAATGACAATTATTTCAAGTTATCTTCTTATTAACTGGCATATCTATATGTATGTATGTAAGTTCTGCTGGCAAGATCGTTGCTCTTTAATAAATTTGGTTTTTGATCTCTTTGTTCTTGCAACATACATATTAACTGCACGCCATACCTCTTCATCTGGGAGATTGGGGAATCCCCTCTTCTTCCTGCCAGCGTAGCGCAGCACAGAGGTGAGAGCACGTAAACCAAAGTCATAATGGTCCTGCTTGGACAGCTGCTGCACGGCCAGCGAGTACAGAGTGTGGACTTTCTTGGCCAGAATCTGTTTAAGATGAGACAAGCAGTATTTCATTATAAACATCAATGCTATTAAACAACAACAAAAAGTAAGCACTATTCTACCGTATTTGCCGGCGATAAGGCTGCAGCGCCGCATAGGCCGCACCCCAACTTTGACATTTCAAAGAGGGAAAAAAAATTCGTCTTCATGCCAACAATGCAAGATAAAATTGTTGGTAAGATGTGTTGAAATGTCCTGTACCAAATTCATGCTGGTTTTGACTTGATTTTTTTATTTTGTTCACTCTTTCGCCGCAAAGGCTGCACCCCGACTTTTTGGTATTTTCTATTCCAAAAATACTGCGGCCCTTACGCCGGCAAATACGGTATGCAACTCTAGAAAAAAACCTTGTCTTATCGTCTTCCCCAGTATCATATCTGTGCATGCACTGACCTGCGCAGAGTTGGAAGGAAGGTTAATTGCCATCTGCTTTCGAACATCATATTTGATGTTAAGTCAATCGGTTGAAAATCAAGTTCAGTCTATTTTGGAGTTGTGTATTATTGCAACTTCCTATTTCAAGCGGCCATACTGTACATCATTAGCACTTCTTTCACAGGCTCATTCATATACTTCACTTCAGAAAAACAAGGGCCAGTAATATGTCAGAAAAATGTTTTACTGGTAAGAACGGGCAAGTAAGATCTTTGCTCTTTAATGAGAAAAGATTTGTTGGGGTTTACTTGTACATGTTTTTATATGATTCCACGGTTTATATTGTTTATATTATATGTTTTTTTTTTAAAGTTTTATTTTCAAGAGCCAAAATCATATTTCGTTGGTTGGCATCTCTGTAAGTGCCTTTAAAAAACGTCTCTAACACAAGCTAAAAATCATTTACATTTGCAATGAATTGCAATAAGGAAATATAAGTCTCTCTTACCCTGGTATTCCCTAACCCTTCACCAAAGAGGATGATTTCAGCGATCATAGCAGAGTCAGGAACGACCATAGAGATAGGTCTGAACATGGATTTTTATCCCTGGACACCGACAAGCTAGAAAGCTTTTAGTAAGGCCTCGAAACCCATTTTTTTTTCAAGCAAATGTGTAGTCCATGACTACTGGAGGAGCGGGCGCCTTTGAATGTTTGAAACAGATAAATGGCGCCATACAAGTCTCATTCATCACCATTCATCCACGGTAATTGCCTTAAAAATACTAACTTCCACAAAATGAAAACCATTCTAAATCTTATCTTACCCCGGTATTCCCGAACCCTTCACCAAAGAGGATGATTTCAGCGATCATAGCAGAGTCAGGAACGACCATAGAGATAGGTCTGAACATGGATTTTTATCCCTGGACACCGACAAGCTAGAAAGCTTTTAGTAAAGCGTCAAAACCCATTTTTTTCTTTCAAGTAAATGTGTACTCCATGACTATTTGAGGAGCGGGCGCCTTTGAATGTTTGAAACCGATAAATGGCACCATACAAGTCTCATTCATCCAAGGTAAATGCCTTAAAAATTCTAACTTCCACAAAATGAAAACCATTCTAAATCTTATCTTACCCCGGTATTCCCGAACCCTTCACCAAAGAGGATGATTTCAGCAATCATAGCAGAGTCAGGAACGACCATAGAGATAGGTCTGAACGTTGATTTTTATCCCTGGACACCGACAAGCTAGAAAGCTTTTAGTAAGGCCTCGAAACCCATTTTTTTCAAGCAAATGTGTAGTCCATGACTACTGGAGGAGCGGGCGCCTTTGAATGTTTGAAACAGATAAATGGCGCCATACAAGTCTCATTCATCAACATTCATCCACAGTAAAAGCCTTAAAAAAAACTACCACAAAATGAAAACTATTTAAAATGAAAGGGATGAAGTAAATATATATCTATCTTACCCTGGTATTATTGAACCCTTCACCAAAGAGGATGATTTCAGCAATCATAGCAGAGTCAGGAACGACCATAGAGATAGGTCTGAACATGGATTTGAGATTGTCTGGCAACTCGGAACGTCCAGCGTATCCTGCGAATGAAGAGGAAAAAACGATAAAGAGAGAAGGGTGGAAGGGAGTGGGGCAGAAAAGCACAAAGAGGAAAACAAATCTTTGAAAAAAGCTGCGTTTTCTACTTGCAATTTAGGGAAATGCACTTTAAAATTTATTTAAGGTAATCAAATGGAGGTAAATCTTCTTTCTTACTGCAGTAGTCAATACAAATTTAACTTACAACTCTTATTACATCAGTTTTACTACAATTCAAATTAGATTTATTTATCAAAGAGCAGCACTGAAAAAGACATACGTGAACATAGGCAGAAGCGAATGAGTTAGAAATCTTAAACTCAACATAAACCGTGTAAACTACCGGTAATGGAAAAACACTAAGGCCTGAATTCACAACGGAGCTCTGACTGTGTCGGGCTTATTTTGCACTAATTTTCGAACATGGGTTAGGTAAATGAAGATTTAAACCATGGGTTAAATTCAAACCTCCTTTGTGAATGTTGGCCTTAATTAAATAACAATCATTGTTTGTGCTTTATTTTGATAAGGAACGGATAAATAGATTCTGTATGTCTCTATTTAATTTTATTATTTGATCTCGTACCAATCACCGGTTTATTTTCAAAATTGAATATTCTGTTAAGTAATATTTAACCCTTCAACTCACCAGGGTTCATGGTGATGAAGATACCACAGGACCAGACCAGGTTGATCTCCCGCCCCTCAAAGACGAAGCGAGAGGACCCCGCAGCTAGGGCAGAGAGGATGGAGAGAATCTGCTGGGCCACCACGGACAATACCTCAATGTTGATACGGTTGAACTCATCAAAGCAACCCCAGGCGCCAGTCTACACAAAAGAGAATGGTTTGGTTGGTTGATTTGTTTTACCTGACTGCTAAGAAAGCATGTGTGTGCTTGTAAGTAAGCAATCAGGGGACCAACGGCTTTAAAGGGATTGTTTAACAATGTTAAATCTAAGATGCATGGCCCTACGTGTTATCAGTGTCTGTGATATGGTGTAATATTGAAGCCCTCAAAAAATTGCACTTCAAAATGATCATGAAGTGCCTCAAAAAAAGTAAAATCTTTGAGTGACCGGTTTTACCATATTCATTTTTTCCAATAGACTGTAGTGTTATCAAATTTTGTTTCATAATCTGAGGCAATGTTACTGAGTCACTTTTACGGGGACATGTAATTCATATCCTGTAATACAGAGTTACTGATCGATCTTTTGGCTTTTATCCTATGGTTCTAACCTGAGCTAAACCAGAGAACATCCGTCCCATAGACTTGAAATCCAGACCCTCTGAACAATTGACCACGATGACGTAGTTGCCCAGGGCCTTGCCCAGATCTTTGACGGTCTCGGTCTTGCCCGTACCGGCCGGTCCCTTGGGGCTACCACCACGGTGGAGATGCAGAGCAGTGGTCAGGGTCATGTAACACCTGAAAAGAAGCGAGAGAGGAGATAAGATGAGTTTGTGTTGCAAAATTCTAGTTTAGTTCAGTCTAACTCTGTTTTGGTAATTATTCTCATTCAGTTCAGTACAAATCAGTTCAATCGTTCATATTATATCGATTCAGTTCTGTGATTTTTTTCCAGTTCAACTTGGTCATTCATTAATGCCGTTCAAATCAGTTCATTTCATTCCATTCATTTCATCTCAGTTCAGGCCAACTCATTTGAGTCATACAATTAAGTTCAGTTCATTTTGATTCCATTGATCAAAAAAGGTCATTGAATTAAAATCAGAACATTTTAGTTCACTTTACTTTGCTTCAGTGCAAATCAAGTCAATGCAATGCGGGTCAGTTTATGTCAGTTCTTGACAGATCATGCAGGTCAGGTCATTTTCATCTAAACTCATTTAGTACATTGGGACAGCTTATAACCAGCTCATGGTTAGCTAAGATCAGTTCATTAAGTTCAGTGAGTTCAGTTCAGTCCTCTTAGTTCAGTTCAGTTTGGTTAGTTCACTTCAGTTCATATCACTTCAGTTCATATCAGTTCGGTTAGTTCAGTTCAGTTCGGTTAGTTCAGTTCAGTTCAGTTAACTTCACTTCAGTTCAGTTCAGTTTGGTTAGTTCAGTTCACTTTGGATCAATTCAATTCAGTTCAGTTCCCCCATTCAATTCAAACCTACCTGTCAGTCAATGGAGTGATAACCAGACGTCCAGAGTTGCCCAGGTACTCATATCCATACTGGAACTGAGTGTTAGTCTGCCTCACCACGCAGTCATCGATCTCCTTGTCCCAATAGACACGGAGCTGCATCAGCCATTCAAAGGCCGTCACATCATTCACACTGGCCTTGATCAGTTTCTCGATCACGTCCCTGGCGTGGACCTCGATGGTCACCAGGGCGACCACCTTGGCACGTACCATCTTGGGCAAGTTGCCCCGGATCATCTCAGAGAACTTGTTCAGCATGGAGATCTGGAAGGAGGAATCGTGAATGAGGATCAATGGTGATGATGATAATAATAGCTGCATCTACATCAATGAATGTCTCTTAGTGCAAAGATAAAACTGTCAACATACAGACAGAAACAGAGAAAACCATGTAGGATGGGTGGAAATTAACACTGATATAGAATTAGAAATTAATTATTCATGATTAAAATCACATTCATTCTTACATATTTCTGTTGTGAACATATGTAATAGAAAAAGAATGATGATAAGAAGCTTCAAGTGATCAGGGCCAGTTGCATAAAACGTAGCGTTGATGGTACCTTTACCATTATTGATAACTTCCATGGCAACCTTGATAAGATCAGCTGTTTAATGATGTTGCCATGGTAGTTAATATTGATGTCATAGTTACCGTCAGTGGTAAGTTTTAACCAACGGGGCCCAGGGCAAAGCATCAGCATTTGAAGCTAGATATATCTTTTTACCTGTTTCTTCTTCATACTCTTGAGTGCTTTCTTGTCTCCTCTTTCCTTGGTAGTGGCCAGTGCTTTAGTGACATCAGCTGTCCATTGCATTTGACTTGATGTGATCAACATCTATAAAGAACAAAGGAGGGCATACAGGCTCACTACATATATCTGGTAAATACAATGTAAAATATCTACATATGTCTGGTAAATACAATGTAAACTATTAATAATATATATGTCGGTAAATACAATGTGAACTTTTTACATATATCTGGTAAATACAATGTAAACTATATGTCTGGTAAATACCATGTAAACCATCTACATATGTCTGGTAAACACAATGTAAACTTTTACATACGTCCGGTAAATACAATGTAAACTATCTACGTATGTCCGGTAAATACAATGTAAACTGTCTACATATGTCTGGTAAATACAATGTAAGTTGTCTACACATGTCTGGTAAATACAATGTAAAGTATCTACACATGTCTGGTAAATACAATGTAAACTATAAACATATGTCTGGTAAATTCAATGTAAACTATCTACATATGTCTGGTAAATACAATGTAAACTATCTACGTATGTCTGGTAAATACAATGTAAATTGTCTACACATGTCTAGTAAATAATAATAATAATAACTAGAATTTAATTTAATTCACGAAGACGAATAAGGTGGTCTGTCTAAGTCTTATGATAGATTTGAGAATGGGACAAGTTATATAGACATGTAAACAATGATGATCATGATGAACATGGTGATGATCATGATGAAAATGGTGATGATCATGATAGTAAAGGTGATGATGATGATAATGATAATGTTATATGACGATAAAAACGATAATGTTAATGATGATGATGAGCATTAGCATTATCTTGACAACTGATTAAAAAAAATGAGGAAATATTTAGATAGCAAATAGTCTCAGCTACAACATACTAAGATTTGGGAGAAAACTGTTGAATAATAACCGAGATACTGGTCAAAACACATTGTCAGGCAGATGCATGTTTTGAAAAAAAGTGACCTCCCATAGACATAACACGCAAATATGACAAATTATGCATTGTCGCCTTTAATCGAATATTTTACTATGATAACGTCAGATAAATGAAAAATAAATGGCATATTTCTGGTAGAGAATTATCTCAGCTACAACATATCAAAATCTGAGAGAAAATCGATCACCGATAAGCGAGATAATCTCAAATAAACAAAGACAAAAATGACGTCATCAACAAAATACATTTGTTTGAGTTTAGATGCCAATATGATGACTTTATTTCACTTTGTACGAGTCAGGGTGGTATGAAATCATATCTCCAACTCATGCTTTCTCCAACCATGATATAAAAATTGGGGGTCAATGGACTATCTGAAGAGCTATTTCGATTTTTAAAATGGCATGTTTTTCATCAAATTTGCACTATATTGCCCATAGCAGTACGCGCGGATTTTGAACTATGACGCACGCTCACGGCCTTATGAAATATGAAGAGTGACTGAAATTAATATAAATTGTCAATTACGTTAAGAGGAATCCAAATCATGTAAACATTTTGAATTTGACCTTTTCCGCGCGCTGTGAGCGCGCACACCGCGCGCGGGGACACTTACGGACGGAAAATGTTGAAATGCTTAAAATGACCTGATTCGTACTCTCGTTTAATAGTTTAGTGATTTTGAGCAATTCTAAATTTTGACGCGCACATACGCGCGCGTCATGACCTTTATGTGACCTTTGATGACATGACCTGTTGACTCTTAACCTAAAGTATATGTGATATGAATATGAATGACCTTTGCTGATGCATCATGAAGATATGATGGATAACGTGATTTCACAAAATGGCGCCTGGATGACGTCACGATAACCTAATGACCTTAAAACTGTTCCTGTCACGTCTCATGATAATGACCTATGACTGTGCCAAAATTGAATCAAATTGACATAACCAATCTTACGTTATCCGACACACAAAAAAGTGAAGAAATAAATAAAAATAAAGAAATAATAATAATAATAAAGAAGAAAGAAAATTCTGACGAAATCAATAGGTGGTCTGTTGATAACAGACCACCTAATAATAGTACATTTATAAAGCGCAGAAACTATCCAACAATGTAAACTATCTATACATGTCTGGTAAATACAATGTAAACTATCTACATACATCTGGTAAATACAATGTAAACTATCTACACATATCTGGTAAATACAATGTAAATTATCTACACATGAGGTGATCTTACCTGTCCAGGCCATTCCTTGGCCCACTTGTCTCTCTTGCTGAGACTCTTCTTCAGAGCGATCTTACACTGTTTGAGGATATCCTTCAAAGTCCATCTCATCGTCCTCTCGATGTCACACAGCCATGCCTGTCAAAATGAATTTAGTATAGTGACGGTAGCACATTAAATCTTTTATTGATAAAAATGATTAACATGAAATGAACATTTATTCCCCTCGAACAGTCATTCTTCATCGATTCAATGAATTTGTATTAATAGTAATGCTTGTTTATTCATACATTCATTTTCATTTTGATGAAACTCAACTTACGTACATTGCAGTACTCACGAAGGTATAAATATATGTGCAAATCTTTGTCTTTCCCCACATTCAGTCATTATTTAATTAATTAATACGTTCTCCATATCACGCTGCCTATTACTAATACGTTCATTTGATGTCATCTCTAGTAGATGTAGATGTAGTTTCACTACTCACAACCCAAAAGCATCTAAACTAATCATTCAAGTCAGAAAAACTGTTTAGCTGTAATATAACTGTTCTTGGTCCCTCGGAGAGGACCTCAAGCCGTCGGTCCTCTGGTTCTTACTAACAAGCATTTATGATTTTGTAGCAGTCAAGTAAAATAACCACCAATACTATTACTACTATTACTACAACTTATCTAACAACAGATGAGCATTGAAATACTAGCAATATAAAATATTTTCATAGGTGCTCTTTTTCAGTATACCATTCATACATCCCTCATAGCTTTACCTCAACAGGGCCCTCTAGGAGAACCGGGTGTCCAAACTCCACATACTCTCCGTCAGCCGAGTACATCCCTTGAGCCTCAAACTTCTGAGTGATACCCATCTTGTGCATCTTCAGAGTCTTGATGTTATCAAAACACTTCTTCAGATGAGGCTGAACCTATTTGTAGAAAATAAAAAAAGGTAGAGAGAAATATTAAGAAAATGAATAAATTAAAGCAATGAGAAACAAAATATATGATCTTTGTATGCTAGTAATATCACCTCCGATTGTTACGTTTTGTTTGTGTAACTCAACTGATGTAGTCAAAATCTTGGATGACATACCCCTTTTTTTTGGGGGGGGGGGGTGGAAGAAAAAAAATAGATTCAAATACTAAGATTGCAGTATTTATGATATATAAACCATTTCACCGCCAAAAAATGACATTGTGTTCATAAGTTGGGGTATGCGTTAACAGTGAAAGACCTTCAGATCAAACACCTTCACAGTTGATAATAAATTAAGAACTCATTCCCTGACCCAAAGTATTGCCTCCCTTAGTCATGTATGCCTTTTACAATTGTGCACCTGTCTACACTGTGGGTTTCGGTGGTTTGTTGGGATATTGTGGACAATTTGAAATTCATTCTTCCATTTCAGGATTTTCTTAGCCATTGTTTCTTAGCCTTGTTTCAACTTACTGCTTCAGGATTCTTTGACTGGCCAAGGATCTCTAGGAGGTCATCGTTCGAGAGGAAGTAGAACCGAGGGAAGATCTGTCTCTTGGTCTCCAGGTACATGTCCAAAGATTTCTGGATCTCTTCTAGCTTGTTGTTCATCTCATTCAACGTCTCCAGTAGACCTACATATCAAACATAAATGAAAAGATATGTTAATCCGTTTTGGAACAGGAATTATTTTTTAGGGCTACCTTGATCACATATTGTTCTTCAGATTGGAACCGGTCATAATTTTCTTTTATTGCTACATTGTTAAAGTATAATGTAATGTCTTTGAAACAATATACATGGGAAACAATGTGGGCAAAAAGTTTTAAAAATTGCCAATTTAGATTAAAAATAATGATTTTGAATCTCTGAACGTGTTGCCAACTTAAAGATTTTAAAGCTCCTTTTTCCTTATTAAAAATTTCCATTCTCATTAACATCTTCAGTAGACCTGTGTGTTAAACAGAATGAAAAAGATATGTTAAACACATTGCCTTGGGGAATAAGATCTGGCTTATACAAATCTGTCAGAACCTATCGCACTTACAAACACAATAGCCCACTGATTTCTTTCTGCAACCAGATTAAAGCGTGATGGCTCATCGGTAGAGCAGTGGGCTTGTAACTAGGAGGTCCCAGGTTCGAAACCAATTTCATGTGCTAGTGACCTATGCTAAGGGATTAATCCTTATTTCCAAGTCCCTAAAAGAGGACTTAAAGCCGCCTGTCCCCTGGTTGCTTACTTAAAAGTAAACATATACTTTCTTAGCTGTCGGGTAAAACAAACAAACCTACCAACCGTCCAAGATAAGAATCGACTAGAAACTGTATTCAATGCTTATGGGAGAATTCTTTTCATATATTTACCCTCATGGTGTGTGCCACGTAGAGCATTGTTGTCCTTGTGTAACCTGGACATGATGATCTTCCAGTTGGCGTTGACGCTGTCAAACTCCGCTGACTCACGAGGGAGCTGCTTACGGATATCTTCACCCAAAAAGATGTTCTACACAGGTACAAAATAAAAATGGGAATTTCCTTTAAGGCTGAGATATCAACCATATGCTTAGTAGAGTTACGTTATGGTGTCTGAAATAATGATTCCCCTCATAAAACATTAGCAAGAAGTGAGAAATTCTTCAAAATATTCAATTAGATGGACTCAAATTGGTTTGGAATAATATTGAGCAAAATAAATTTATGTAGATCCAAAATAAACCGTTATTTTGTCAAGTTCAATTCAATCACACCTTTGCACTTCTTCCTTCCTTCCAACTGACCAACTGACCAACTTCCCCACCAATCCAACTATCCCAACCAACCAACCAACCAACCAATCAATCTATCAATCATGCATGTAAAAGTACAGTTTGGTGAAGGATGATTCACATGTGAAGATTCTGAACCCCTACCTCAAGGTACATCCACTGTCTCTGGACCGTCAGGGTCATCTCTATGACCTCTAGGATATGCGACAGGGTCCTCTCCCAGTAGTCCACCTCCTTCTCAAAGGCCTTGACGAAGCGGGAGGCTTTCATCGTTGACAGGGTCACCTGGTTGTCCTCAAGGACCTGGAAGACCTCATCCGTGGCTCTGTGCAAAATGAAAGGTCAAGGGTTAGTGGGAGGTCAAAGGTTAAAGGAAGGTCAAAGGTTAATGGCAGTTTAAATGATCAATTGGGACGGCTGAATCAAATTCTCATTTGTAACTCTGTGAGAATTGGAGGTCAAAGGTTAATGGAAGCTAAAAAATAAATGCAATTGTGAATGAAAAGGTGAGTCAGTCTAAACAGATTCTTAAAGATTATCCTTAATACCAAAGTAGCAAAAAATTTCCGAATTTATAACTGGTCCAAAAGATATCTAGAGGATTATAAGTAATGTCAGCTGGAGTGATATGAGGCAGTCTAGATTCCAGAAGATTGTAGAGCAAAATCAAGTCTTTAAATAGTTCGTTACAGCTTAGCCAAACCAAGAATCAAACATTTATTTATTTTCAACCAACATTACCCATATGACACAAAATCAAGTAAGCAATTATCAAGCTTTTCTGGGCATTGCCTTCCACTCAACATTAACAAAATGGCCAACATGGCCAACTTACTTTAGTCTGTAATGGCCTCTGTCTTTGTAGGGCGATACATCGAGGATTGTCTCCTCCCATACATCTCTGATCCCTGAGAGAGACTGCTCAATGGCCAACTCTTTACTGGCTGCACCAGATATCTCGGACACCTTCTCGGCGTGGGCGTCGAATCCTAGCTCAATGATCCTCTCGAGTGTGAACTCATCAGCTGTATGGTCAAATGTCTTCTCCAGCTCATCTGATGATGGGTTGCAAAAGAGAAAGGGCAAGTTAGAATGTTAGAGTCGGTAAAACTTTAAAATCAAATCGTACTACACGATGATCCTCTCAAGTGTGAACTCATCGGCTGTATGGTCAAACATCTTCTCAAGCTCATCTGATGGGTTGGAAAAGAGAAAGGGCAAATTTGGAAGTTAGGAGTTGGTAAAACTTCGAAATCGAAACGTACTATACTCCTACTGACATACCACCCAAAGTGAAAAGCGTGTTGAGCTCCAATTATATCCCATTATACTGTCATGGAAATCTATGCTATTATTGGAACTTTCTCTCTACCACAGTCAGAGCTGTGTGGTCAAACGTCTTCTCGAGCTCATCTGATGATGATGGGTTGCAAAAGAGAAAGGGCAAACTTGGAAGTTAGAGTTGGTAAAACTTCTAAATTGAAACGTACTACTGTACAAATAAGGGCAAATTAGGAAGTTAGAGTTGGTATAACTTCAAAATTGAAACGTTCTACTGTAAACGCTGTTATTTTTGCATGATTTAATTTTCGTGCAGAGCTACCCCAAAACATGTTCGGTGGTTCTTAAATTCAGCCCGTTTAAAACTCATATAAGAAGTCATGCTTATGTTTTTCTCGAGTTCTGAAATTCGTGCTTGCCTATCTTAGCGCGTCATCCACGAAAATTAATGTACCGCAAATATTTCTACTTTTACAATATACTAGCTCCTACTGGTTTACCACCCAAAGTGATGAGCTTGTTAAACTCTGATCATGCTATTGTAGGACCTTCCTCTCTACCAGAGTTTGATGAAAGTTTATGAGAGAAATCCCATTAAAATCTCTGGCACTTCTTCAGAGTCATTCAGAATTAGAACTTGGTTGCAACAGCTAATATCTGAAAATGGATAACTGGGTGAAATAACCACTTACGTATCCGAACATTTTACATGGTGAGGACCAGAAATATTACAACTTTGCAATATTTTAAGTTCATAACATTTAACACACTATCCAGTCTCAAATAAGTAAAAGTAAAATAGCAAAAAAAAAGGTGTCTCTGTTCTTTACCTTGCAATTGCTGCCAATGACGCTGTCTCATGGCATGGTTATGAAGATCTGTGACTAGAGGCATTGTACGGCGGAACTGATCCACACGGTTCTTGGAGAAATCCACAACCTCCCAGCTTTTGTCCTGATCAGAAACAAAGAATGATTTAAGGTATTAAGGTAAGTCTTTAGATTTATCCCAACTGATTATGGGACAATTACAACTATGCATTGGTTATACAAAAGTCCTGACATAATAAACAAATCATGTTTTGAGAAGCAGAACGGTGTTAAGATATTGACTGTTAAGGCTTGTTTAGATGTTCAGATATGGTGCGGCAAAACCACTGTTTTTTTTTTAACGCCAGCGTAAAGTTAAATATACTTTTCTGTATCCTATAACACAGAGCTGGGTGAATATGCTGAAGTCACTTGTTGCATGCAGTTGCAATTCATTTACACATTTAGAAAAAAACATGGAGGCTTTTTGCGGCGGTTTACTGCGTCTAAGGATCGAAATCCAACATCAGCCTCTTCACATCACCTAGGAGATGCTTTGTGTTTCTTGCCAAACCTGACTCGACTGACACTAAGAGAAAAGTTCTATTGTACACTGAATGCAAAGGCGTCAACCTTACAGGTATCTATGTCTGTTTGTACTCTACATACTTGCCATGATGAATTCAAGTGCACATTTAGTTTGAAGAGTTATGACCTTTATTTACACAGAAAATTTACACATCAAATGGATAGTCTTTCAGCCTTTTTGGCATCATGTATGAACCAATCTCCAGGGTGTACGGACGAGCTCTCTCACCTTGAGTTCTCTGCTGAGTTTGTTGAGCTTCTTGAAGAGTTGACCGGCAGTCATCTCCATCTCCGTGGTAACTAGTGATGCAAATGTGCCCACCTTCCACGTGTTCCATAGCTCCTCCCACTCCTTAGTCAGCTGCCAAACGTTCTCAATGAAGTCCAAGTCCTATCAAATAAGAATTTATCAAGGAATATATCTTATTATCAGTGTCGACTAGTAGATCAGTCAATGGACTAGAGATCAGGGCCCTGTCTTACAAAGAGTTGATATCAATCGCAACTATGTACACAAGAGATAAGAGACTGCAAACTTGCAATTGATTATAGGACTTGTGATTTGGATCAATCGCAACTCTTTGTAAGACAGGGCCCAGAAGGTACCCTGCCTTGGCACGAATGTCCTGTAGCATGACATTAATCTATATTTGCCACTCAACCCAGTTGAGGTAAACAGCTACAACTAGGATGAACATTTCTTGCATGTCTCTGAGACTTATATGGAAAGCGAGGCTATGAAAATTTTCTACATTATAATTCATATAACTCATGTGTCAATGAATGGGTTACTAGATGTACTTTGCACTACAATATAAAGTGAAAATATTTCAAATCAAATCTCAGTTCAACTTAGAAAGGAAATTCACTTTAGTGTAGGCCTTATGGTGGAGATTATGCCGTGCTCAAATTAACCTAAAAAAACAACTAAAAGATACATTTAATCACTAGAGTGTGAGCTGAGCTACCACAACTATAGCCATCCATTGGATCTTGATCCTCAAGAGGATTCAATGTCTGCAGTCCCAATTACGCTTGAAAACTTTAGGCTAAACAGACTTGACTTGGGGCCTCTTGAATAAAAGTCACATTTAAACTCATTAAAAAAAAAAAATCAAGTGCAACTTTATTTCTAACCAATCAGGATAGCCTATTTAGGACTTGCATTTAATTTTTGGACTTGCATATCTAAAAGATGCATAGGAATGGGCTTCTATTGGGAATTTTACACTGTTTGGCTTTTAACCCAATAACAGTTGTCAATAGCCAGGATTAGCTTTCAGTTTTATGACCAACAGGCCTTATGTAATACTTTGCCTTTCTCCATCCATTCCCCCATTCGTTAAAGTCCTTATCTCACTTTTCCCTCATCCGAAGACTCTCTGAGAGACAAGGGGGTATTTCTTACCTTATCTAGCTGTTGGATCTCTTTGGAAGGAGGCTGGTCAATCTTGAAGATGTTCAGCCCTCGCCTGATGGTCGCCTCCTGGGCCTTGAGGTCAGTGACCTTTTCTCTGGTCGCAGCAATGGACACCAGCGCATCGTCACATGACATCTGACTGCTGAACGGACCTGATAGATTAGAAGCAGATGTAAAGGTTCAAAGTCAGTTCAGAAATTAGAAGGAAGGATTGCCACATCAGTGTTGCGAAAACACTTTCAGGACAGGATTTATTTTTACAGCTAAATTGATTACATATCGTTCTTCGAATTGGGAACAATAATATTTTTCTTTTATCACTAAAAGGATAGAATGAAATACAATGTCTCTAGAAACAATAGACACGGGCGAGAATGTTGCTAATTTTTTCTTAATGGCCAGTTTTGGTTGAAAAACAATGATTTTTAATCTCTCAACTTGTTGCCAAGTTAGGGATTTTAAAACTTATTTTCCTTCTTAAAGTTCCTGGTATCAAACGCAATATAGTCATTAAACAAAAATGGATGCAGTGTGTGGAAAAAAATTGCCCTTTCTACTTGTGTATCTGATTTGTAATTGAGCCAAACCACAAAATATAGAATAATTGTTGCAAAAGGGTCAATTAAAAACAAAGTGACTGAACCATTTCACCAAGACACATTTGACCTGTCTACTTGCAAAGTTCAATAGTTAAAGGCTTTACCACTTGTTTGAAAGTCTTTCAGGTTTCAGGCTGGGGTTTGAACCTTAATCCTCTTCACTAAAAAACAAAGTCACTGAACCACCTCACCAAGACACATTTGACCTGTCTACTTGCAAAGTTCAATAGTTCAAGACATTTACCACTTGTTTGGAAGTCTTCTAGGTTTCAGGCTCGGATTTGAACCCTAATCCTCTTCACTAAAAAACAAAGTAATTGAACCACTTCACAGAGAAAAATGTGACCTAGCTATCTACTTGTTCAATAGTTCAAGGCTTTACATACGTACATATTGATATTTATATAGCGCCTTTACATAAACAAGCTCAAAGCGCTTTACATATTTAGTAAATAAAACAGAATAATTATTTTGCTCTCCAAGTGCATACACTGTAAATTTGTTGTGTAAAGCTGTGTAAGGCGAGGCGTCAAAAATAAATATACCAGCCAGCGGCAGCTAACTGCACTTGTGCGTCCTGGCTGCATTTTTTTAATTAGCTCAGCCGGCTACCGCTGGCGGTAGGACCCTCAATTAACTCATGATGTCATCATAATGGTCTCCGAACAAAAGCATGCGCCGGCTGCCGCCTTTCGAATGGAAACCGAGCCTCAGATCCCAGCCTGGCGCAAGCCGGCTGGGCTAATAAGTGAAAAATAATTGCCCCAGCCAGGCTTCGGCCGTAATTGCAGCCTCGATGCGCCAATACATGAGGCGGCAGCCTGCTGGTATCGATATTTTTGACGCCTCGCCTAAAGTTATTTACCACTTGTTTGGAAGTCCTCCAGGGTCTGATGGGAGGTTTTCTTAAACTCTTCTGCAGAGTGGATCAGACCCGTCTTGAACTTCTCCTTGTGTTTCTTGAGCATGACGTCGCTGTCGATCAGGCACTCCTGGAAGGACACCCACTCGTTCCCCAGGTCGTCCAGGGTGGCTCGGACCTACATGTGGACGATACCAAAGTAGGATGTTAAGACTGACATATAGGCGTCTCCTGATGCACTTTGGAATCATGGTATCTAGTTTGACCTGTTTTGTTTTACTAAATGTGATCGCCACTACCATGACACAAACCCAATCATCGACTCCATTTTAATTGGCAACCCTGCCTTTGTAATGAGTTGATTTGTATAAAGGACACAAATAAGAGAAACAGAATGGCTAAAGTTAATAAATCTGATCAATAATAAGAAAGTGCTAGAGAACTGAGATCACTACATTTATGCAAATCTCAAATTGGCAATTGGTCAGTGGATTGTGACGTGTGCATGGACTCCTATTTGTCATGGACATACAAAAACACTAATTTCTCTTTTTGTCCTTAGCGCTTTCCTCCATTCATTTACACCTGGATGGAGAGTAGCAAACATGGATTACTGTCTTGCCAAAGGGCATTGGTGCAAGGCTGGGATGCAAAACCCCAACCTTTAGATTGAAAGTCAAGTGAACGAACCACCCCACCATATCAGTTTGAATTTTCACATCATTACAGCCAAAGCCACCTACGTTATCTGGGATAGGGACGTCGTATTTCTCTAGGATTGAGAACTGCTCGTAGAGGGGAGGGAAGCGAGCTTCGATTCCGGACTGGTCTTTCTGAAGCTCTTCCAACAGTTCTAAGCTGTCGCCTAACTCATCTAGTGTCTGTGGAGGCTTGCTCAGTCTGTAAATGTAAATAGTAAATGTAAATGTAAATATAAATAGTGAAAGTAAATAGTAAATGTAAATGGTAAGTGTAAATGAAAAAAGTAAATGTAAATAGTAAATGTAAATAGTAAATGTAAATAGTAAATGTAAATAGTAAATGTAAATAGTAAATGTAATTTTAAAAGTAAATGTAAATGTAAATGTAAATAGTAAATGTAAATGTAAATGTTTTTCATAACACTACAGTCTATTGGGGAAAACGAGTATGGTTAAACCGATCACTCAAAGATTTTTACTTTTTTGAGGCACTTCTTGATCATATTGAAGCGCAATTTTTTAAGAGCTTCAATATTACACCATATCACAGACACTGATAACACCTAGGGCCGTGCATCTCAGATTTAACAATTTTAAATGATGCCTTGAACATGCATTCGTTTAAAAAAGTTTCATATCCAGTTCCTGCTGGCAATGGGGTAATAACTAAGACAATTCAAATTTTAAAAATAAATGTCAAAACATTCCTCCTATGATTTCTTACTTTTCCTGGTTCTCCTTGAGGAACTTATGAAGGTCAGACAGCTTCTGGCTGGCCATCTCAGCGAGGAGAGTGGTGAACTTATTTTGCCACTCATTACAGTGGCTCAGTAATGCAAACTTGAGTGGAGAGCAGTCCAGCATGACAAACTGAATGTTGAGAACAGTCTCCTCCTTCTGGACATTGTTAGCCACTTCAGTGTATCTGTAAGGTGAAAGTATGATTTAGTGGATAAATTTTGTTCTGTCACTATACACTGGTTTATTAAGCACTGTTCTACATTAAAACCTATATAAAGAATGCTTGAGAGAAAAAAAAAGAAAAGTGATCTTTGTACAATTTGTAGTCTTTATCTAAAAGTTGCTTTCAATATATATTTCATGGAGAAACAAACAATGTAGTCTTTAAAGGGACTTTGTAACATTGTTCAGATGAGAGATAGTGGTGCTAAGGCAGTGACTTCAATGCTAGATGTACAATTAAAGATAATCTGAAAATTTGAGCGAAAACGGACCATTATTCATGGTACAAATTGGGAAAAACTGATCCGATCGATTTCTTAATTCTCCCAACTATATTATTACAATTTAATTACATTTTAAGTGAATGGAAATCTCACAAAGCAATAAAATGGCTCTACATTCCATTCCAGACATTTAAGTGTTGACAGATTTTTTATAGCCTGTTTTTATGTCTTTTTTTCAAGGAAAAACGGTTGGGAAAATTCAAAAAATGGTTGGGAGAATTTAGATTCAGAAGTTTTGAACTAGGTGCATGTTTCCCAGCAGTTGCAGGAAATAATGTACTCCAACTTTCTTAGCATCCAAGGTAAAACAAACAATAAAACTATTTATCAAGCTACCTGTATTTGAGAGTAAACAATCTTACCTTCCAATGTCTGCATCAAAGGATGAGACAGGGGGCTCACACTTCTGATATCTTCTGATGAATGCATCCTTGTTGACCTCCCAGATCTCACGGTAGCTGTGTACATAATGGAAAATGATAGAAAAATTATTATTCCATCTACAAAACCAAGACTAACTTTCAAAAAATGTCATGCTCCACCAAAGGATAAAGAGTATTTGCCATGATAAACCAGAAATGGATTGGTAACACACTGCTTTAAACTCATTTAATGGCAAATTTGAAAGTTCCAATTTCTAGCATGTCATTCATTTGCAGATCATCATACTGATCCATAACAATGGGGGTATGGCAAAATTATCTTTTAGGGGTTTATTGCTGTTTGGTCTAAAAGCAGCCTGTCTACTATATCCACGTGGTCTGATAATCATTTTATCTACAGACAAAATGAGCATTAGACAAATTGGAAGTTAGACTTCCTGGTTATTAGACTAAATGAACAAAAGACCAAATGTGCAGTAGACTAATTAGATATTAGGCCATATTGAAATTAGACCAAATGACTATTAGCCTAAATGGTCATTAAACCAAACAATAAGTAGATGAAATGATTATTAGACCATGTGGATGGTAGAATGGCTGGGTGTAGACCATATGGGAATAGACTAATTGGGTAGTGAACAAACTGGTTGTAGACTAAACGGCAATCCATCTTGAGATATCTAAACCGAATCATTCTCTTACCTATCCCATGTACCCAGGTATGTCATGAGATGTTGAGCGTTGGCTTGCATACCGGTATTGATACTCTTCTGAATCTTCTTGGTTTCTTCATCATTCTCTATTACGACATAGATAGGCTAGGAAGGGAGGAAAGGACAGGAAATAATTAGAACATAATTATATATTTGTTTCATATTCATCATTCGCTACTACTACATAGTTGGGCTGATAGAAAAGAGCAAGAAATAATTGGAATACGATTTATATTTATTTTCCTTTCTGGTTATACATCCCAAATACACGAAAGCTGACTATGTCAGTGTACACAATGGTTACTACAGATTCTCTGATACATGTTCATGTACAGCTTTTCTTCTTCTTTAAGTATCTTTCCCATATTTGAACCAACAAAAGAGATTATCTCGGAAACTTATAAGCTTCTTCATATGTGATAACTTCATCAAGTTGATTTACAAGTGTAATTATCCATGTTATTGTTATATCCACGTTATATATTGAAATTCAGAATGACAATTGATAGTTCTTGAAAACCTCACCAAAATGTTCACTCATGCAACTTTGGGCTGGGATGTGCAAAATTATGTATATAGCAAAAATAAAGGAATCATACAAAAACAGGCACATCTGAAATTCAATTTTGTTTTCCTTTTGATGTTGTTATGTAGACATCTTTCCAGAAGGCACAACTTCCTTCATGTATCTCCTACTGTATTCCTTAAAATGGCAACTATTTCTGCAAACACCTAGCCTAGCCACTGAACCTGGAGGAGGCACGATAGCTCAGTTGGTAGAGCAGTGGTCTCGTAATCCGGCGACCCGGGTTTGAAACCTAAGGCGATGAGCTAGTGCCCTTTGATAAGGTATTAATCCTCATTACCAGGTCTCTCCAGGTCTCTCGGAGAGGACCTAAAGCCGTCGGTCCTCTGGTTGCTGACTAACAAGCATTTATGCTTTCTTAGCAGTCAGGTAAAATAACCACCACTACACAATAACAATAGTTGTCAACCTTCATGGCTTCTCCATTGTGTCTGCCCTACCTCTTTCTGCGATCTTTTCCTGGTCAGGAGATCCGGTAACCGTTGGATAACAGACACGGCAGCCGTTAGCTTGCTGCTTGTGTTCATGACAATGAGTGCGAGGTTCTTCAGAGTGGGGGAGAACTCAACCTGGATGGAAAGAAAATCGGATGAGATATTTGCATATGACATAGAGATGTGTGATGTTTGGCCAGAATAAGGAAAGTCAAGGGGGATAATGCTTTACATTTTAGGGGCTTTGACTTTTTGCTTTTGCTGACTATTCCACTCAATATTCAATTTTTTCCCCTCTTTTAACCATGTTCAAGTATGCATATATATTTTCCTCCTTCATTTAAACTTTATACAAAAAATGGTGATTTAAAGTGTTGAACATCTTGCCAATTGAAGGACTTTAATGCAAATTTTTCTACAGTCAAACTTTCACTGCTCTCTCTTTCTGTTTAGGCATCCAGTATATCTTTTAGACTCTAAAGCAATATTGAGCCACACCCCGACAATTGTGCAATTGCCCTGAACGATTAAAATATAACATTATATAGGGTTTATAGGAATGTATAGGGTAAGTGAAAGTGACATAAGCCAGAGTAATCGTATGATTGCAGGACCCTTAGGGAGGAATGATAATACAGCATTATCAGTCATCAGTATTAAAGCTTATCTGTACTAGTTTATAGGAGGGATTAGACCGCCATGCAAGGTCACTGGACAGGTGGTTATCTGATCAACACAGCTCTCAAATAACATAAGAACAAGAGGATCATGGGGGACCGAACGTCACCGATTAGACATTGTTTGTTATATAGAGGGCGCATGTAGCTATAAGTAGTACAGTGGGCCTTTAATACTGATGAGGCTACCCTGGGTAAAAAGGACATTATTATCATTATCATCATTATTGCATAAAAATATTCCATGATTTCGCACCTTTGTCTTATCAAGGACCACTTTGACCCTGAAGAGGGGGTTAGGGGTGCTCTTGCCGTCCCCGTTGATGGCCCTAGAGAGCTCCTGCAGGGACCACTTGACGTTGAGACGGAACGCTTCTTCCACCATCCTGTCCATCTTCTCTGTGTAACGATGCCAGTAACCTTGAACCTAGAGAAAAAAAATGAAGACAGATTCCTCGTTCAGAAGTGGAAAACTATACATTTCCGCGATGACTATACGCTTTGTACAATAACTCAGCGGTTATTTGATCAGTGATATTCACTGTCTGACATTACCAATATTGATACTCAGTTTTTAGGATTTTTTCTCTGTGTAAGGATGCCAGTAACCTTGAACCAAGAGAAGAAAAAATGAAGACAATTTCCCCATTCAGAAGTGGAAAACTATACATTTCGGCAATAACTGTACGTTTTGTGCAACAACTCAGCGGCTATATGATAAGTGATAAGTGACTGTCTGCAATACCGATATGATTACTAATTTGTAAGGATTTTTTCTGTGCGTAACGATGCCAGTAACCTTGAACCTAGAGCAGACAAAAATGAAGACAGATTCCCCATTCAGAAGTGGAATACTATACATTTCTGCGATCATTGTCCGCTTTGTGCAATGACTCTGCAGCTAAATGATAAGCGATATTCACTGTCTGACATTACCAATGTGTATACCATTTTTTTAGGATATAAGTTAATTGTCTAGAATAGTTACATTTGATATTGTACCTTGCACCTACGCTCCAAAGGAAATTATTATAAATGGGTTTTTTGGTTTAAATGGTCGTCCCTAAATAGGAATCATTTATCAACATTCCTTGTGCTACACTGCCCAGCAGTCAGTAGTGAAATTCATGCCTGCAGTTCCGACCAGTCGGGTGCCTAAAATCTTCATATGCTGTATATAATCAAGCTCTCTATAAATCCAGGGGATGTTTCACAAAGATTCTAAAAAGACCTTAACTCTAAGTTGGACTTAAAAATTATGCAGAGCTATTTGTAGCCTTAAAACAAAATATATTCAAAAGCAAAAATTGAAGCATTTTAGACTTTTCAAAAATAAGGCATCGAGAACATGAAATCTCCCATGACAATTGAAAATATGAATGATTTGAATCCACATTTTACGCCTTTTAAAATAACTTTTACAAAATATTTTCAAAGATGCTCACGGCTTTCCATAATTGTTAAGTCCAACTTAGAGATAAGTTCAACTTAGGATCTTTCTAAAACACCCCCCCCCCCCGATGAATTTCTGCAGGAATCCTACGTACCTCTTGGCCGTCCGCCCTGAACACCTCATAGGTCTGTCTCATGGTGTTGACGATCTCTTCGTGGATCATCTGCAGCCGTTTGGTCGCGTTGGTCCGATGAAGCTTCTGCTCCTCCTCAAACTCCATGTCCTCGTAGATGCGCTTCCCATCGATTTTGACGAGCAGCGTCTCGCTGATCCGCTTGCAGCTGCGCGAGATGGTCAGGTTGGCGATCTTGTAGTCGTCCACAATGGCTTGAACCTGATACAAAAGCAAATAAAACATTAATGGAGTCATTGGACAGCAGTGTCAAGATACAAAGTTATACAGTCAAACCTTTCTATAGTGACCACCCAAGGGAAACACAAAAAGTGGCCTTGTAGACACATGTTCTTTGTAGACAGGTTATTTTAGTACATGATTCAATGTGAAACCATTTTCAAGGAAAACAACAAATGTGGCCTTTGTAAACAGGTGGTCTTTGAAGACAGGTGGTCACTAAAGCAGGTTTGACTGTACCAGACATGAATTGACTTTACACTGAAGAATATAACCAATGATTACAGTGCTACAGGAATATTTTAATCAAAGTTATAAAGGGCTAGTATCAAGAACTGCTTGATTGTTAAACTGTTCTAAACTATTACCTACTCACTATCAATTCTTGGGGCTAAACAAATATAGTTGATTGACTGTAGAAATTTGCCTGATAGTTATGTATGGAATACTCCTCTTTAAAATCAGTTTTATAATTACCATATCAATAAAAGAATCCCAGAGGCCATAGGGTCAGTCAATGTCTGAACGTAATCTGACTGAGCATATCTTTCGATACCATCCGATTTCTTTCATCTTTAACGATGTGATGTTTGTTGATATCATTGCTTTAATTAAAACTATCATGCATATATATTTGGATGTAAATGCTGTTTTCATTCACGTTAGACTGGGCGTTGTGGCGTGCGCCTGTAATCCAGCTAACAATGGAAGTTACAAAATGATTCAGCCGAGGACGCAAGCGTGAATCTGAGTCACTTCTTTCGGATGGTGACGTTAAAGGTCGGTCCCCAGACGTAAATAATCATATCTGATTGATACACGTCTGCGAAAAACCCAAATACAGACACAAACACACACGTACCTTGCCGGCATGCAATCTACACTCTGCTACAAAGAAGTCTGAGATACCCTTGGAGGCCCAGGTGAGCTTCGTAAGGCCTGGATGGATCTTCTTGTCAAGGTGTCGTATCCGTTCCTTGAAGAGTCCTCTCTCCTCCAAGGACAAGGCGGCTATTATTCTGAAATAGCAGAGGGAAGGAGACATGAGATACTGTAAGCATGAAGTCGGAGAGAACATATCTGTGGATATTACGTTATTATACGATTAACAGTAACCTCACAAACATAGTGCTATTTGGTTTTTTGATGTGGTCAAACAAGTCGTTGAATAATTCAGAAAGTCTTGATGAATGTAGAATGTTAATAAATGCATATCTAAACAATCTCAATAAAAATCAGCAAAGCTTGAAAGGGAGAAGGAAAAAAATATATATTATCAGAAAACAATAAACAACTTTCTTGTCTTTCAAAATATCCTAGGTGTTCATGAGCAATTACACTGGAAGTACCCTTCCCAGTCAAACATATTATTTGCTTGCTGAAAGATATAGAGCACCACTATTATTGGGATATGGAGAGCTATGTGAGATAGGAAGAGTTCACAAGCTCATTGAACTTGCCATCCTGAACTAAAATGTTGATTTTAACTCTGGGCTGAATTATTTCAAAACAGTTATTTCAACAACATATAGAGTGAAAAATACCTGACTTTTAAAGGATGGGAGCTTGTCTTCAGCATTGGAAATGTTCAATGTTGACTTTTTGGAAGTAAGGTTATTCTTTTTTTCTGTGACTTATTGCTAATATAAAAGACTCTAATGAGGTTGCTAAGTTTTTCTGGGAGACATGAGTTTGTCTAGCAGTATGTTCTCTTGGTCATGCAGCTCACTGTCTTCGCGTACAAACTGGCTCAGACGGATCCTGGTTTGAAAGCGAGTCTATCGGATGGTGACGTTTAAAGGCATGGCCCTACGTGTTATCAGGGTCTGTAATATGGTATTGAAGCCCTAAAAAAATAAATTGCGCTTCAAAATGATCATGAAGTGCCTCAAAAAAGTGAATATCTTTGAGTGACCGGTTTTACCATACTCTTTTTTCTCAATAGACTGTAGTGTTATAAAAACTGTTAGGAAAACGAAAAATGAAATTTCGATTTCCAATCGTAAATATCTTGATAATCAGACAGGCGATCGGCTTGTAAAAGTCATGGGATTCCTGACTGACCTAAATGTTTCTAATTATGATTGTAGCATGAGCTAAATCCAGAATTTTGTTTCAGAATCTGACGCAATGTTACCGAATCACTTTAAAGGTCGGGCCCCAGACGTAAATCGTATCGGATTGATACACGTCTGTAAAAACCCAATACACACACACACACACACAAACACATGCTAACCTATTGTAATCTCTGACCACCAGTAGGACGTTTTCTCTGAGGTTCCTGAGATCTTCTCTCTTCTGGTAAACCTCTGTGACGTAGTGAGGAATCTCAAACATCAACTTCTCCCAATACTGGATCTCATTGAACATCTTCAACAGATTCCTGGACAAGGCAAAAAGAAGGGATCAAACTACAACTGTGACAATCAACTGACAAAGACAGATCTAATTGTCTGTATCAAATCTAAAGTAGTGGCTATTTTTAATGAAAGAGATACATATTAAAACTGAAGTGATCAGCTCTCTACATTAATTAGTCTGCGATTGAGAGTCAGTTTGAAAGGATTTGGAAAGTGAAGAAATGATTCCTAAACCTCATGAATAAAGTGCGGGAGGCAAGGTGATTTTCCCGTACTCCATTTTCTTAGCATCTTTCACCCTTAGAGTGCCCCTAATCTTTTTTTTTCCAAACATGAATCACAAATTAGATAGCTTTAAACCAATTTTCAATCATAGTAATTCTTTAACACTGTTCATCTTGATTTAAGTTGATCCTTGATTTGTTCTTAATTTTTTCAAGAAGACAAAAATATGACATGGAACCTAGAAATGAGGGTCCTGTATTTGAAATCCTACAACACCAGTGGAAGCGTTTAATCAATGAGGGTAAGAGATTAAACTAACCTGTCAAAGTTGACATCCAGCATGCCCATCTTCTCGTTGCTACGGCACAGGAGAGGGCTGTCCAGGAGTTTGATGGATTCCTTGTCCACGGTAGCGGCCCACTCGTTGAAGGTCTTCCGGATGAATTCATCCAGGGCAGTGCTGAGCTGGCTGTACTGGGTACGGGTCTCGGCGCCGCTCCCGATGTTAGGCAAGAAGTAGGCTTTGTTGAGCACCTATGGAGATGGTAAAAATTTGAAGGGATTATAGGAAATACTCGTACAAATTCACCGTAAAATCTGAAGTACTGGGTGCAGCATCTTCTTTCTTCATTTCAACAAATCTTTAAAATATATCATCAAATTCTAAATCTAAATGTTACAAGGGAATATTTACAAAGAAGGAAATAAGAACTTCACTTCATTATCAAAACTAAATGATGGTCTCCAGTCGTAAATGATCATATCTGATCGATGCATGTCTGTAAAAAAAAAACATAACACACACATCCACCGACCAGACCCATCCGCACACTAGCTTTAAAGACCTGGGGGGTGTTTCACAAAGATCCTAAGTAGAACTTAACTCTAAGTTGGACTTAAAAATTATGGACAGCCATTGGAGTCTTTAAATGAAACATATTCAAAAGCAGAAATTCAAGTATTTTAGACTTTTTATTAATTCCACATCCAGAACATGAAGTCTCCTTGATGAAAGAAAATATGAATGATTTCAATAAACAATGAATGCCTTGCAAAATAACTTTTACAAAATATTTTCAAAGATGCTAATGGCTTTCCATATTTTTTAAGTCCAACTTAGAGATAAGTTGAACTTAGGATCTTTGTGAAACACCCCCCAGGCCAAAAGAGCCTGGCCTACATACTGCGGCTTGAGCAAGCCCAGGTCTAAAACCTTCCTCATACTGTATGTGACAATCAAACATAGAAATTCCTTCATTTCAAGATCAAATCTACACCTTACCTCCATACATCTATCTATCCTCCTCTTCAAGGACCTGGCCCAGTGAGCCTGGCCCGCATAGTGGGGCTTGAGGAAGCCCAGGTCCGGGATCTTCTTGGTGAATTCTTTCTTGACGGCGTTGAGTTCATTGTTGAAGAGATGATACACCTCCACAGTCTTCTTGTCAATGGTTCTACGGATAGCCTAAATACGAGAGATACAGCATGAAGAGTAAACTCACTGAAAAAATATACATATCAACTGAGTTATGTCAATAAACTGAACTCAAAACCCATCCTCTCTATCCCCTTCCCTTCTCTCCCCCCCCCCCCCCCAACAAAAAACAAAAAAAATTATATATGGATGGAAAGATTTTCTCTTGAAAAACAGGAATAATTTGCTGAAAAATCATATAGATATGATATCATGGAGGGGCGTTATAAATGCTTTGTTGCAAGCTGTGTCTCGCACGTGACGTCACAAATCTTGACGCTCAACGGAGGACCGCTGAAGGGAGAAAATCTGAATCTCAAAATTAACATTTTTGAGAGATGATTACTGTGGGCCCCAAACATATTTTGAACAGGGGAGTTGTTATTTTTTATCAGTAAGGCTTCCCCTTAGGCTTTGCAATGATATGAATTTTGCATCAATTCAAATACTTTTGATTCTTTGGGTGACTACTTTACCCACGAATAAGGAGATGCATATATATCACCTCTCTGGACGAGAGATGCTGGAAGGCATCCAGGAGTTCCACTCCCTGTTCCACCGTCTTGGCCGTCTCGAAGGCCGTCGTGATCACATTCTGCATCATGACCTCCAAATCTTTGATTCCTGCTCGAAATCTGTCAGATACGAGAAGAAAGAAAAAGATGGTTAGGGTCACTTGTTTGTTTGTTTGTTTGTTTATTTATTTAAATACAGTGATTAAAAAACACGCTTTCAGCTTAGCATAGCTGTTTTCAGCGTGTCCGTACATGGTACATTATAATACATGAATTGAACTGAACTGGATAACTGGGTTATTTTCTTGAATGGATCTTTCCTCCATATGATGCTTTTGACACTTTTTATATCATATATGTTTATGTTTGTAATTTCTTTTTGTGTATTTAGATTTCTCTCTTCACTAAGTTTATACATATGTCATCTTTAAGTTATTTTTCCTATTTTTTTATGTTCAATTTGGTGTCTGTATGATCTGTTTTGTTTGCAACACGGACTTGCCAAGTAAATCTGAGATGTTTTAAAAATGAACTGCAATTTGTAACTGATATCTGTAAACGTATTATCTTATCATATTTTGAATGGCCAAGAATATAATTGAGAAATTCTGCATTTATATATCTTTTCTTGTATACATTCAGTATGTGAACGTTATTATTTAATAAAGGCTCCCTGTGGAAGGGGTAACAAAAATTATGAATTGAATTTAAAGAAAATGAATCCTCTTACTTGTTGTAGTCATCATGCCACGAGGTTGCTTTCACATCCAAGATTGTTTTCTTCACGTTCCTCAGGATGAGCAGATTCTTGGCGAACGCTGCCTCGATCTCGAGCAGTCCTCGCGTGACCTCTGGCCCCCTTTGACCTGCAAAGGTCGGCATGGGTATCTTGTCTCCGTCGTTCATCCTGGCAAAGTGGATCTGGCACTCGCAAACCTGTGACAAGGTAAATGTTATGATGCATCAATGAATATGTGATATTCGCTGATGGCTTGATAGTAGAGTCGTACACTTCTACCAAGAAATCCTTGTTTGACTGCAGAAGAATATTTGTCATATGAAAATCAATGGCTTAAAGATTTTAAGGAAGAAAGTTCCAGTGCAGTTTTTTTGCTTTTGCAAAAACTTGATATTAGAGAGCAAAATAAATTTACAAGAAGTATGTGTACACAAGTAGAAATTACATTGGATCAATTATGGTTACACAAATTTTCTTTTGGCGATAAGTCACACATATACCTTTCCGAACCATCCAAATCATGTTTGACTATCTTTCAAAACACTGACATTTACTTCGACTGAAGGATTATTTGCACATGCTTTGGTAAAATGCAGCGGTTTACTGCACGTTTTTTTAAAGCAAATGTAAGCACTTCACATCTTCGCGTCTTATAACAAACACATAAATGTGTTCACACAGGACCACTGTTGCAAATTGTGAATACCGTTTTTATCCCTACTTGCCATTCATTTCGTACACACACAGAATAATCCCACCATGTTTTATCAGGGAATATGTGAACAAGCCTTCAATGTTTCATCTGCAGGGCTCCAGGTTTTATTATCACACTCAATATACGTTTTTTTAAACTCAATATACGTTTTATTTTACTCAATATACGTTTTATTTTACTCAATATAAGTTTTTTTGTTTACCTCCAGAAGGTCCTTGCACCTCTGAACGAAGGCATCCACCTGAGCAAAGATACTGCTCTGATCCAGAACCCAACTATCTGATGAGAACCGATGATGCATCTGCCGAATCTGCAAGAAAGGACGAAGAAGAAGAACACATTTACTGGGTGCTTCAGTGTTTCAGGGGCCCGTTTCACAAAACTTGTCATCACAGACAAATGATAGTCTTTGTTATAAGCTAGTGAAATCCATGCTTCTGATTGGTTCTCAGCAGATTTGTCACTGATTTTTGTCATTTGTCATTGAAAAAAGGCTTGTGAAATGGGTCCCAGGCCTACTAATCCCAGAGGGACTGTTTTTTTCTCCTCTCAAACTAAACGAGATTAACAAATTCTGTTGCTTCCCCACCCCCCCCCCCTCAATAACTCTCCTCTTATTTTTGCTGTGCAAAACTGCTTCTTTCATTTGAGAAATTTCAGTGTGCACGAAGTCAGCAAATAATACTGTACCTTAATTAAAGAAATGGAGACCCCCACAAATCTGTTTCCTTGAATTGCATATATCAGACAGTATTTAAATCTACTTTGGAAACGATACTTCTACCTTTAGCTGGGCACCAAAGTATCATTGAGTGCCGAGAGTTGTCTAGGAAACTTTTTACTACCAGATATTGCATTACTGAACATGTGGGTCAAGTAAGACATATGCCTAATCTCTTCTGAGAGTATGAACACTGGGTTTGGACTCAGGACCCACATGTTTTGAAACCAAGGACACAAACCACTGAACCACACTCACCCATGCGTACTGTTCTTTCCACTGCTTACAGCACTCGATGCTCTCATGGAGACTGTTCATGGATGATTTGACGCAGCCATCGAAGAGACGATCTAAGGAGATGTCTTTACAGCAACGCTTGATGATCTCGTTACTGATCTGTACAAAGCAACAAGGATAAGAAGAGAAATGGTCAGTAGGAATCATTGTTTTTATTTTCTTTTTTTTTAAAGAAACCTGGGGGATGTTTCACAAAGACTAAGATCGACTTTAAGTTGGACTTAACTATGGCAGGCCTTTTATGCCACTATTTGCTTTCACCATTTATTGGCATTGGTCTCTCAAGGGACGTACAAATCATAGTCACAAATCTACAGAATTTACACTTTATAATAGTTCATTATTAAAGAAAAATATTATCTACAGATCATAATGGTGAGAGCAAACAGTAGCATTAGCAGCCTGCCATAGTTAAGTCCATCTTACAGTCCATCATAGTTTTTGTGAAACACTCCCCATATCATTAATTCTTTGTTAAAACAAATCTTGTGTTAAGAACCAGAGGGACGTCAATACAGGATCCACCTGGTTGCTGTAGGCCCATGGGTTCTCTATATCATCTACATCAGTATCATCTCTGATTCTGGTGTAAATCTTTAGGCCCTAGTTTGATCCTGTACTGGAAGCAGTCTTACACTAGCAAGTCTACTCATATCTATTTGAAACGATGCAAAATAATTGTCAATATCTATATCTTCTGGTGAATAAATATATCAAAAATATACCAGAATTATACCAAAAATATATACTGAAATTGATGCATTTGATTGGTTGATTGGTTGATTGGATACATTTGATTGGTTGAGAGCAAATTTGTTATACAAATGTGACATAGAATGTTTTATGAAACAGGGTCCTCCATGCTAACTGTCTGACACAATGTAAAACTGCATATCCTCAAATGAATCCAGAAATGGATCCAGAAGTTTTTGATCCACAGATTTTGTTGTGTTGGAAGGCTTTTGTAAATAACCTAGCAGACAATTAACCTAGCTGTTCCATCCAATTAATACATAGATATTAGAGAGCAGAAATTCTGTGACAGCTAATGGGTTAACATCTCACCTTCCTGAATAGACCCGTCAGCCTCTCCCTGCTCTTGTAGTGATCCGAGTTAACCCATATCATCCTGACCCTGTTGATGATGCCGGGTAGCATGTTGGGTATGTCTGCTGGCTTGGCCTTGTTGAGTTCCTCGCACTTCTCCGACAGGGTGGAGAGGAACTTGAGGTTGCTCTGTGCTTGAGCAGATCCATCCTGCAAACATGGAGAATAGCAATCAAATAACAATACTTAAAGCAGGACTGCACTTCTTGCAGCTACTTCCGCCCTCTATATAGCAAACAATGCCTAAGCGGTAACCAGTGGTCCCCCATGATCCTCTTTTTTTAATGTTAATTGACAGCTGATTTGATGAGATAAACACCTGTCTTTTACAGACGTACAGATGTATGCAGGAGGTCTAATCCCTCCTGACCGAACTAGTGCAGTCAGGCTTTCATACATTTTTGTAGCATTTAACACTCAGGCTTCTCAGGGCTGCACATACAGTTTATTCAGAGATTCCAGTTGCATTACTCAGTCAGCCAGAAGATAGATGCATACATGTTTTTAAAAATCTCACCCTATTAGATTTTGCTTGATACAACATCTTCAAAACATTGGAGAATTGTCATTTCATGACTGCATAATACATTACTCAAAATGTGACTATTTTCTAATTAAATTATCAGAACTCATCACAAACATGAAATTCTTTTTAACCCATTCACTACTCAATTCTCCCATTACCATAGGCTTAACACAAAAATTGCCCAGTTCCTGTAGAGAGTGGGTTAATAGACGTTCATTTCTGATAGATCAGAGCTTCTCATCCATACCTGAATCAGTTTGGAGAGTTTCTTGAAGGGGCTGACATAGGATGACTTGGCCTGTTCAAGGATGGCCTGCACCCTTAGGACCCCGTCTTTCTGTAGCTGTTCACTGATCCCCGACAGGTCCTGGCACCGGCTTCTCCAGAACTGGATCTCTTCCAGGGGACCGGCGTTCTCTGAGGTCTCGATGGCATCCTGTGAGGCCAGGACCTCCTTGATCTGTCTGGTCCAGTGCACCATGGCAGCTGTCATGAATATTCATAATATTGATCAGTATGGCAGCTATCATGAATATTCATGTTATTAATCAGTATGGCAGCTATTATGAATATTTGTGTTATTGATCAGTATGGCAGCTGTCATGATTATTTCATGTAGATGACTTTCATCATGCTTGATACTATGTTTCACAAATTCTAGAAAATGAAAGAGACTAAATATATTGCTATCAAAGAAAGAAAGATATTGGTGTGCATTGCAAAATGTGTTGGATTTGTTTCAATGGAACACAAGAAGAAGGGCAAGTCCAAGAAGTTTGTTCCATAAATTTATTTTTCATTTTTTAGTATGCATGATCAATGTATTAGATTTATACCCCTGTATGAGGTTGGATTAGACCAGGTATAAAATGAAATGACATATTTGATGTCTAGTTTTTTTTATGACTCTTCATTACTTGGTAATGTATATGACATCAATGACCAAATACCTCAAACTTGCTGGGAATTCTTAAAAAACGGTTTAAGACTCACTTTCTAGTCTTTGTACGAGTTCCTTGTCCTTGGCGGCCTTCTCCGGTGGAATGTTCATGCCTTCTTTGGGGATGTAAAGGACGGTGTGTCCCTGGATCTTATAATGAGTGTCTGTCAGGCTGGCCATGAACCTGTGAAGCTGTGCCGAGAAATCATTCTTAATGCCTGGTTGAGGTGGGAGGAGAAGAGGGAGAGTTAGAGTTAAGGAAAATAACATTTAACCTTTGCAGTGCCAGAAAGTTTTCATATATTTCACACACAAAAAAAAAAGAGATTTCATGAGAAAACTTTACATGCATGTATTTCAAAATAAGAAAAAAAGAAGATATTTCATGAGAAAAGTTTTTCAATTTTTAACAAAATCCTCGAAATCGCCCCAGTTTAAAGTGGCATGTGTGAAAGAGGCTTTAATATCATATGAAAGGATACTGTCCAGCCAGGTGGTGTTGTCGAAGAAGAGTGGTGCAATGCAACCGTGTTATTTTTTGGGGTATCATAGAAATAGAATGTGGGATGAAGAAAAAAAAAGTAGCCCCACAGGTCTTTCACATAGTCCCTTATATCTGGGTCATAATATACAAAATGTTAAGTGCAGTATACTGAATATGCTTTTTTTAAACAAAATCTTGGAAATTGCCCCAGTTTAAAGTGGCGAATGTGAGCAAGGTTTTAACATCGTATGAAAGGATACTGTCCGGCCAGGTGGTGTTATCAAAGAAGAGCGGTGCGAAGATGCTGTGCATGATCCTGAGCAAGCTCTCCACGTGGCCGCTCCTGACCGTGCCGTACTGCACCGCCTTCTCCACGTTCGCCCCGGTCATCTTGACCCCAGGTCGCCGGATGAAGTAGTTGAGCTCCTCCACCCCCTGCGGGGGGATGTTGTTGCTGACGACCAGGCCCATCTGGGGGTCGACGAACACGGTGAGGAGCCGGTCGTTGGAGGCAGGGTCGAAGAAGGCATCGATGGTCTCGTGGTGGGCGTCGGCCCACATGTCTGGCTCGCTGGCTGCCAGGATAACCCTCTGTTTCACAAAGTCAACCTGGAATTCACCAATTTTCAAAACACCATTGTTAATTAAGTCTTTGGTTAACGAAATTACAATCAAAACAACTTTAGTTGGTTCAACAGTACTCAATATTCTAATGCAATGTGAACAAAGATTCTAAGCTTTTTTCTAGGTTATCTCTCATTATACATTTTCCTGTATAACCTGGAGGGCGTTTCACAAAACTTGTCATCAGTTACAAATGACAGTTTTTGTTATAAGCTACTAAAATCCTTGCAAATGACAGTTTTTGTTACAAGCTACTAAAATCCTTGCTTCTAATTGGTTATCAGCAGATTTGTCACTGATTTTTGTCATTTGTCATTGAAATTATGCTTTGTGAAACGGGCCCGTTTTCTTGACCTTGTTAAGAGTTGATATTGTGCATATACATTAAGTTTATTACTTTGATGATTAAAACAAAAGTAAAATGAAAATGAATGACGCTAACAAAGATGCATGAGATTGATAAATCAATGTACACTGCATAAATCAAAACACAATTTACACTGTAAGCATAACATTTGAACCCCCAGTCCCCCTCCATCCATAAACTATTGATATGAAATAACAAGGCATTGGAGAGCAAAATAACAAGGCATTGGAGAGCTAAATAAAATAGCTCAATAGAAACATCTGATAAACACTTACATAATCAATATGAACTGGGGTAGGTGCTTCATCATGCCCTATTGAGGGAGAGCTACCATTTGCAAAGGCCATGCTGTCTCCATTCATCAGATCACCACTGGTAGTATGGTGAGAACCTGAGGCTGGTGTGGCCGTCATTCTTCCTGCTCCTGTTTCAGTTAAGGTGAAAAAAATAAAATAAGATAGTGAAACAGTTGTTATAAAGACCGCTCATGGGAGTGAAAACAGGGAGTCTTTATAAAGGTTAGGAGGGTGTTTCACAAAGCCTTTTTTCAATGACAAATGACAAATATCAGTGACAAATCAGCTGATAACCAATCAGAAGCAAGGATTTCACTAGCTTATAACAAAACTGTTATTTGTCACTGATAACAAGTTTTCTGAAACACCCTCCTGGAAGGAGGGGAGTTGGGTCTGCCTGTCGAACCAAAGATCGTGGGTTCAAATACACCCCAGTTGGATGACTGAAGCCTGCATTGTGTGTTAAGGCGTCCCTCCCCTATTTCAAAGAATGCAGGCTATGTTAAGTGGAAAACACTCTGTCCCTAGTATGTTAAATGGAGGCCGCATGTAGAGGAGAGTCACTACCTTTGCATGTTGAAAATCCACTGCACTATTCTTATCAGAGTAGGGGAAAACCCAGGTGTAATGGTCCACCTGCACACCCCCAATGAGTTATACCGTGAGGAGAGACCCGAGGGTTACAGTGATTCAGTTCACCTATCGCCTCCCAGGCACAGGTGATGCTACTTAATAATTATAATAATAATACAATAAGATTGATGATGGAAAGACTGACAAAAATATTTTCCAAAATATCCATCACCCAATTCCATTCATAAAATGCAACATATACAATATGTTTATAATGCTTTTTTCTTGTCAAACTTTCCTCTGGTTTGTAAGTGTGTGTAATGACTGAGAAGCATAAGAAATAGATTCCTTACAGATATTTTGAGAATCTACATATGTACTAGTTTTCATATACATGTATCTCTGAAATTATTTTGAATGCCTAAGTGATATACCTGAGGTCAATGCACTTCTGGGTTCGGACCCCTCGGGTAGCTTGATGGCTGGTGGAGACTCTGACTTGCGCCCGTTTGGTAGACCATTCTGCACGGGGGTCTGGGGGGTCTCCTCCTCCACCCCGTTGGTCAGGGGTTCTTCATTTGTGGCAGGGGCTGCTTCAGCTGAATCTGCCATCTTGTCTTGATACAATATCACAGGTGGCGATTCCTTTTAAAAAAAGAGAGAAGAAAATTACACATTAAAAAAAAAAGACACCTCACTGTTATGTACTAAATGCGCATGCGTAAAGTTAGCGGTCGTATTAATTACAGATTACAGTCGATAACTTCACGCACGCTTGCGCGCCTGCACCCCTTCGTCTGTACGGTATGTTATTGTATTGTAATTTGTGCAGCGATTTGCCATGAAACCTGTGTGTGAGAAAGTGTTTATTATAATGTCTTTGATTTTAGGAAAAATACTCCAAAAAAGATAACAAAATTGACACAAAAGGGGTAATTAGAAATGTAACAAATTTATATCACGACCATTATTTGAACAACTGATGAAGATTCAGTTGATTTTGGGGTAGGCTATTGTTTAGGAGGTTATCTCCACGCCAGAGTGATGGGTAAAAACCTTAGTAATTATCAATATTTTAGGAAAAACAGTCAACAGGGTCATTGTCACAAGAAAAGGCAGCCATGATTTAATTTTCATAGGTCTAGACCCTAGCCCTAACGGTAGATCTCCTAGAAAAATAGTATTTGAAAATTATTTGAAGTTAAGACTTATTTTTGCAATGTCAAAAAAATACCTCAGGATCACAGCGCGGGCTGAGGCTCCTTTTTTCTTGTAAAAATAACATGAACATTGGCGCTTGAAACCTATCCAAAATTTGATCCGTAACTTCGGCGCGGAGATTTTCCGAAAAATACTCCGAAAATAACAAGAAAATTGACACAAAACAGGTAGACCTAGTAAGCCATAATATTTTCTTCATTTTGGGTAGGCTATGTTTTAGTATGATATCTCCACGCCGGAGTTACAGGTCAAATTTTGGATAGGTTTCTGAACAAGCGCCGAACATTGTTCTCATTCAATTTCAAATTCAAATTGTCATGCGATTTTTTGGCACACTTACTCTTCAGGATATCAGATTAAACATTAGTCTTAGAGTTAGAGCAAAATTAAATGAAATCTTTGTCAGTTTCAAGTCAAATATTACTAGGCCTTTATTATTATTAGGTGCGGAGACTTCGAGGGTTTAGTCTACTCTAGGACATTCATAGAATTCGCTGTCATGTCGTCGCGCAATTCCGCAAGAGCCAAGGCTCAAGCCCAGGCCGCGGCCGAGCCAAGGGCAAGACGTAGTCGACCGACACAGATGCAGACCGAGGTGCCGAAGGCGAAGCTAGACACAATTTTCAAGATTTTGCAGCTAATCTACTATCTCCTGTTTAATAACATTTCGACATTAATTAATTGTAATATTTATACATCAGCTTAATGAGATATTTACCTATTTTCACTTTGCTGCATTCTCAAAACTTATAATAAAAGTATCTTCTACTTGCACTCTCGTTTTCGTAACTGATTATTGGCGATGCAGCTTCGCTTGTGATCACCCTGACGACAACATATTTTATTAAAAAATTGGCAACACTGTAAAGACTTACTTTCTTAAATTGATATAAATATTTATTTAGACATTAACTTTTATATTTTTAAAACAAATTAAACTATTTATCAGTTAATAATATTTTATAATTTTAAATATTAGGTCAAAATATTGTAAAAGTGTTATTTTGTATATTTTTGTTGTCGGAGTTTATAGCGATTAGTAATTTGAATGGTGTATATCCCCTATTCCATTATTATATTGCGATCGCAAAGCTACGGGGGCCCTGGAAAGAGACTGGTGACTTAAGTGATTGTTCTAATTGGTTTCTGCATGTTTTGAAAATCATGTACACTACTCAACTGCATTATCTTCCTATTCCCACTCCCGAGAAAAACAAACTTTATTTAGAGGTTTAAAAGAGTAATAATAATAATAATAATAATAATAGTGGGTTCTCTACTTCCTCTCTGATTTTCTTCTTCTAGCTCATTATTATATATTTTATTTCAATTCATCATCATCATTATTGTACAATATCATCATTATTTTGTTAAACACATTACTCGTATTGTTATTAATATTATTATTATCATATTTATTAGGGTCCTATTATCATTATTATTATTATCATTGTTATTATTACTAATGATACTGATATTATTATTATTATTATTAGGGCCTTTTTTTATTTTTATTATTATTATTATAAGGATACTTAAATCCCTGGCGTGCGTACTGCATATAATGGGGAGGGGGGGGGGGGGGTAGGGGCTGGGAGGGTAGCCCCCTCCCCTCCAATAAAATTCAAAAATGATTTGAATTATGCTTATTTCTCCCTTTTGCCCATTATACCACCCGATGGTGATGCATTTTTTTTCTTTCTGACCCCAAAGCTCTCACAAAGTTTCTGCTCGTTTGTACTACTGCTTGAAATAGTGAGGGGCATTGTGCCCCCCCCCCCCTCCGGAGCACCGACAAATTCAAATTAAAATTCACACTTTATTGATTTCAATCCAAACTGGCGAGGGCAGAGGCCCAAGGGAGGGGGGGGGGGCTAATTCGTAAGATAATATTAGCGGTGAATCAGCTGGCCGAATAAGCGAGGGGGGAGGTAACCCCCCAAAAAGGTTAACGGGAGGGGGGGGGTGAGCACTATTTCTTTTCTCAACACCCCCCCCCCCCTTTTTTGCCCCCTTATCCCCTGCCTTCCTGCCACCCTCCCTTGGATCCGCCACTGACAATACCCATTTAGTGGTTTCATTATTTTTCATCAATGTTTTCCAGCATTTACAAGTAAGTGCGAGGAAGTTCTGGATGTGAGACAAAGAGATATGATTGTGACACCCACATAAAAATAATAAAAATATCTGTATAGGCAAATTCAACATTTTTTTTAAAGCTTACGGCAAATCTCAATACCGGCAATAATATTCCCCCTAAATTTCCCCGCTTGTTAGACAATTTTAACTACCTTTACAGTCAATGTAAGCCTACTCCAACACCCCTATTTCGTGTAAAAAAAATGTTTTTTATATCAACAAAAATACAATAAGCGTATACGATGTAAATACATAACTCTGGCACCTCGTTGCCCGAATCGGTGTTGTAAAAATTGCCGGGATGCTGGCGATAATAGTTTGAGCTCACAAGTCCGCGGCCTCTGTTCTCTATGTTGTGAGGGGGTGGGGCGCGGCTGCAGCCCCCAAATAGCATATGCCTAATAAGAGACACAGTCCATATTTCCTTGTGCATTCCATTTCCCCTTATACTCCTATTTCTCTCACTTTTTTTGTTTACATATTTCTCTGCTATCTTTATGAATTTTGCAATTCTCTTTTTACACCTTTTCCATGATTGTGTATCATCATTTTCTATGGATATCATCATTTTCTTTCCTCTTTTCTTTTACATAATGTGTTCACATTTTTTTTCTTCTGCGCTATTTAATTGTTTTTCTTCACGTTGGCCCGTTTTTTGATCGGAGGCCGATTTCTTTCTTCCCACTTTTTGTTCTCGATATATTGTCTTCTGAGCCGCTGTATCAAAAGCCGTCCATTCTTTCTCTCTAATTTTTTTTTTATCTTTCTTTCCTCTGATCTCTTTTACCCTTCTGCTTATTTAAACAATTTCCTCATCATCAACTTATCCTCTTTCTTGTTTCTTCATTTTCATTTTCTCTTCTTTGTTTTGGTTAAATATCATATTGAATTCAATTGGAGATTTTTCTACAAGATTACTGGTGCAGCGGATGCCAGTATTAGCTTATATTTTCACATAGACAATCATGTGTAGATAAGATCATAATTTGTAACCGTTTAACCTTCATCTTTTTCTGCAATATATCTTAGCTAATAATTATTCAATATACTTTAGCCTAATAATTAGTCACAATTGTATAATCGCATGACACAGTATATTTGCAATATTATCAATTCTTTATATTTGTAAAGCGCTTAGAGGCATTTGTATTAAGCGCTATATACAAATTAAATATTATTATCATCATTATTATTATTATGTATCATTGAATTGAATTTATTAACTTGAATTTATTTTCTTCTGCAAAACACACAAATCAAATTACATTTGAATATCAGGCGCGTATGCAGGGGTGTTTTGGGGGATAAACCCCCCTTCAATTATTATTATTTTTTTGCTCAAGGGGGGGGGGGAGGGGTGCTGAGTAAAAAATATATATATTGATATATTTTAAATAATGCTCCTTACCCCCCCCCCCCCCCTCCCCTTGAGCGAAATATCTGTCAGCGCGATTTTCAATTTTCAAACACCCTCTTTCGCCACTGACATATAATATACAAAATATAATAATTTGTTTGAACGTATACACAATATAATAATAATAATAGAAATGTTGACAAAATGTAACTGATGACACACTATCGAGAAATATTCATTAATAAATCTGCAGAAGAAGAAAAAGAAGAAGGGCTGGATATATTTATATTTAGTGTTTTGACTTATAAGAATTTTTGTCCAGATTATTATCTTCAATGACTGTTGATGACATTATGTTTTATATTTATGACTGCATATACCAGGTGATGTTATTGTTTACTCTGAAAACTATTTCGACTCGGCCATTGCAATTTTAATCACTGCATTTCTATTCAATTAAATTACTTCACTGTTCGTGGACCTCGAAATATATCCTATTGGTCTACTGGTCTGTTGCCCCCCCCCCCCCCCCCAAGCCTGACTTTCTAATATTTGGGCAATTAACCCACACCTAAATTTCGGGCAACGAGATGCCCTACTAGCAAGGTGCCCGAATATCCACACATTTATTTTCGAGCTGCGAGATCAGTGGCGTAACGAGCGAAAACATTTGAGGGGCTGTGAAAGGGGGGGGGGTGTGGGGGGGGGTGCGACACCCCCCCACCTGTCAGGATATTGTCGGTAAAATTGCGCTGCCGTCGGGAAAAAGAGAAAAGGGGGAGGGGGAAAAAGAGAGGGAAAAAAAGAGAGGGGAAAAAGAGAGGGAAAAAAAAGAGAGGGAAAAAAAGAGAGGGAAAAAAAGAGAGAGAAAAAAGAGAGAGAAAGGGAAAGAAAAGAAAAAAAGAAAAGGAAAAGAAAAAAAAGAAAGGAAAAGAAAGGAAAGAAAGGAAAAGAAAGGAAAGAAAAGAGAAGAAAGAAAGAGAGGGAGGAGAGGAAAGAAAGGAAAAGAAAGAAAAGAAAGAAAAGAAAAGAAAAAAGAAAAACAGAGTGAAAGGGAAACAAAAGAAACGGGGGATGAAAAAGGGAAGAGAGAGGGGAGGTAAGAGTCTGAGAGAGGAGGAGTGGGAGTAAAAGAGAGAAGGGGGTTGTTGGGTGGAGTCGTCTCGTCGAGGGAGCAAGAAAGACACGGGTAAATATGTTGCTGTGTCGGGTCAGCTGTGTCGGTATTCTTGCTCGATCCTCGTGTACTATATCAATGCAGAAGTTTGAAGTCGGTGAGATGTATATTGTCGGTCGGCCGACAAGTTTTTTTCCCTACGAACTGTGACTTCATATCCGCTGTGACGACTTCGAGAGTGACTACAACTACAATACTTGTATTTTCTCGAAGTTTCACTTTCCTATAATATCAGCTAAAGAAATCAGAGGTTTAACATTTTCGGGGAAACTAAATTCAAACAAGGTTTAAGAGTCAATAACGGTACGACGAATCGTCTTCCTTTCTTTATATTGTGATGAAACGCCAAAAATTCCGCGCTTTGCGCGGAAGGGGAAACTTCATTTAGACGAGTCGAGAACGGTACAACGAATCGTCTTCTTTCTCTAATAATTTAAGGAAACGTCAAAGCTTCCGCGCTTCGCGCGAGAGGGGTAAACTGAATTCAGACAAAATTAATAGGGCTTATTTAGAGTCGAAAACGGTACAACGAATCGTGTTCTTTCTCTAATAATATGAGGAAACGTCAAAGCTTTCGCGCTTCGCGCAGAGGGGGAAACTGAATTCAGACAAAATTAATAGGCCTTTTTAGAGTCGAAAACGGTACAACGAATCGTGTTCTTTCTCTAATAGTATGAGGAAATGTCAAGGCTTTCGCACTTCGCGCGAGAGGGGGAAGCTGAATTCAGACAAAATTAATAGGGCTTATTTAGAGACGAAAACGGTACAACGAATCGTGTTCTTTCTCTAATAATATGAGAAAACGTGAGAGCTCTTATGTGAGAGCTCTAACGTGAGAGCTAATATGAGAAAACGTGAGAGCTTTCGCGCTTCGCGCGAGAGGGGGAAACTTAATTCAGATGAATAGGGCTTATTAAGAGTCGAAAACGGTACAATGAATCGTCTTCCCTTCTCTATATTGTGATGAAACGCCAAAAATTCCGCGCTTCGCGCGGAAGGCGAAAAACTTCATTTAGACGAGTCGAGAACGGTACAACGAATCGTCTTCTTTCTCTTATAATTTAAGGAAACGTCAAAGCTTCCGCGCTTCGCGCGAGAGGGGTAAACTGAATTCAGACAAAATTAATAGGGCTTATTTAGAGTCGAAAACGGT